TAGTTTTCACTTTCGTTGCAGAGACGGAGAAGACAAGCCTTCTTTTAAGAGTCATCGTCTGTGAAATTTTCGAGTCAAAGTCATTAAAGCTTAAACATTTTTGCTCTTGTGTGTGAAATTGGTGTAAATGTGCAGACATTGTGGCCTGTGAAAGCCCGAACAAAGAGAATCAGCACCAAATCAGAGACGCCACTTCAGTTTTCTATTCAGAGCTTTCAAATTCTTAACTTGGGTCATGCGGGGATTGATTCAGACACGTCTTCTCGAGACAGGTACTCCGAGAACTGCTTTAATATTGTCTTGCTATGGACGAGTCTTTTCTAGTGTCAACGATGGTAAACGGAAAGTCTCTTATAGAGAGAGATTGAGAAGTGGAATTGTTGATATTAAGAAAGATGATGCTATTGATCTCTTCGAATCCATGATTCACTCTCGTCCTCGTCCTACTACCATAGATTTCAGTAGATTGTTTAGTGGTGTTGCCAAAACAAAACAGTATGATCTCGTTTTAGCTCTCTCCAAGCGAATGGAATTGCTTGGGATTTCACATGACCTCTACACTCTGAGTATTATGATCAATTGTTTCTGTCGCTGTCGTAAACTTCAGTTCGCTTGTTCTGTTATGGGAAAGATCTTGAAACTTGGGTATGAGCCTAACACTATCACATTTTCAACTTTGATTAACGGATTCTGTCTCGAGGGTAGAGTTCCTGAAGCTGTGGAGTTAGTTGATCGAATGGTGGAAATGGAGCTTAGACCCAGCCTCATAACGCTTAATACTCTGATCAATGGACTTTGTCTCAAAGGTAAAGTGTCTGAAGCATTGGTTTTGATTGATCGAATGGTTGCAAATGGCTGTCAACCCAGTGAAGTTACCTATGGACCGGTTTTAAATGTGATGTGCAAGTCCGGTAAAACTGCCCTGGCCTTGGATTTGCTCAGAAAGATGGAAGAAAGAAATATCAAGCTCGATGCAGTCAAATACAGTATCATCATTGATGGTCTTTGCAAAGATGAAAACCTTGACGAAGCACTCAACCTTTTTAATGAAATGGAAATGAAAGGGATCAAAGCTGATGTTTGTATCTACACCACTCTCATAGGAGGCTTTTGTAATGCCGGTAGATGGAATGATGGTGCCAAGTTGCTTAGGGATATGATCACAAGGAGAATCACCCCTGACGTTGTCACTTTCAGTGTTTTGATTGATAGTTTTGTGAAAGAGGGAAAGCTTCGAGAGGCCGAAGAACTGCACAAGGAGATGATTCAACGAGGTTTATCTCCTGATACCATTACATATAGTTCTTTGATAGATGGGTTTTGCAAGGAGAATCGCCTAGATGAGGCAAACCAGATGCTGGATCTGATGGTTAGCAAAGGTTGTCATCCTAATATCGTGACGTTCAATATCCTCATAAATGGATATTGCAAGGCTAAGCAGGTTGGCGATGGTTTGGAACTCTTCCGCAAAATGTCGTTGAAAGGAGTGGTTGCAGATACAATTACTTATAACACTCTTATCCAAGGCTTTTGTGAGTTGGGAAAACTTGAGGTTGCCAAAGAACTCTTCCAAGAGATGGTTTCTCGTGGTGTTCCTCCTAATATTGTCACTTACAAAATTTTGCTGGATGGGTTGTGTGAGAATAGGGAACCAGAAAAAGCGCTGGAAATATTTGAAAAAATACAGAAGAGTAAGATGGAGCTGGATATTGGTATATATAACATCATCATTCGTGGGATGTGCAATGCTAGTAAGGTGGATGATGCTTGGGAACTATTCTGTAGCATCCCTCTCAAAGGAGTGAAGCTTGATGTCAAGGCATACAACATAATGATTTCAGGATTATGTAGGAAAGGCTCACTGTCCGAAGCAAATATGTTGCGTAGAAAAATGGAAGAGGAAGGGTTTGTGCCAGATAATGGTACATACAACACTCTAATCCGAGCACATCTCCGAAGCACTGACGTAATGACTTCAGCTGAACTCATCGAAGAAATGAAGAAGGGTGGGTTCTCTGCTGATGCTTCCACTATGAAGATGGTTATCGATATGTTATCAGATGGTAGATTGAAGAAAAGCTTTCTGGATATGCTTTCTTGAATGTGTACGAGGAGTATTTAGCTGTGGACAATTTAGTTTCTCTTCTAATGTAATTGAATCATGTTTTTAGTGAACTTTTCCCCATCCTTGACATGTTTCAGATCCCAATAAAAAAAAAAACAATTCGTTGGGTTTCTCTCTCTCTCTCTCTTGTTTTGCATTTGGCAGTGAAGTTAGATACAAGAAACAGAGGATGGTGATGTCCCAAAACAGTGAAGAGCTGTAATATCAATGAGGAATGCCCCAGAGCTAGTTTCATCATCAGCTACTTGAAAACTCGACAGTACATCTCTATTAAAGTAACGTTTTAGTAAAAGTAATTAGGGTTTAGTGAGTGATTAATTCATGTTTTATATGAGATGAATCGTGAAAGGGTTATTTTCACTAATTGCTTTTTTCTGTTTCTTTTACTAATTTGTTGCATAAAATCAAAAGATGGCTAAAAGCCTTTTAGTGTTTATAGCCCATATTGGTTAGTACACCATTTTATTTTTACATAAAAGAATAAAACTGAACCCATAATTAAGAAGCCCATATCTAATTGCTTTTTTGTTTTCCTCTATTTCACTTTCTCACTATTAGAGGTGTTTTGGCAGGGATTAGTTCCGTTTACTAAGATAGCAACTATATAATTTGCACATTGTTATATTTTTCTTGACGCAGCATATTATCATTGCTGCCATAACGTCTATTGTTTGATATCTTATAAAGTTATAATCCAAAATACTTGTTTAGTAAGTTCGGCAAATTACTAATACATGGAATATACATATAATTGGCTATAATTAACATTAAAAGCGTTCACCAAAAATATAATCTTAACTGTCGAAAAAAAAAAAAAAAAAACTCTTAAGAGAGAGAATAAAAAGACGAAAGGGCACGCGCATGTGACACTCACGAGACAGCATGAAGCCTTAATTCTTGTGGCCGACATTGTCTCCTTGTCTCTTTAAGGCTTTCGCTTTATGTATTTCAACATTTCTTTCTGTACTATCATTCTCAAACATTCAACATCTATCGTCTATTAGTCTGTATGAAAGGTTTTAGACTTTTAGACCATCTTTAAAGGTATATCACCTTAGATAGATCTAAAAAATAGTTATATTATTAAAATAAAAGTTATGAATTAAATGCAGAGAGATACTACACTAAAACAAACCAAAAAAATTTACGTGGCACTAAGACTTGAGGAAGAACAGTTCTTGGGCAAGAACTTTTACTCACTTGTTCTTCTACTATTTACTTATTTCCTAATATTTTAATTCTAAGATCATTACAAAAGTTATTGAGTTGCATATGCCCTTAGTAAACCTCTACAATTCAGAGGAATTCATTAATTTAAGAATTATTTGTAATTAATTGAGACTAACATGTGATAACTTGCATGTTAATGTATTTAAAATTTCCAGATATACATAACATAATTGTCGACGTCTTTTTGTTTCAACTGAACGATCAATGTGGTAATTTGTTATCTTCTGTTTAATACTAAAGTTTGATTATTATTATTTTCATAATTTAGTTTTTTTTTTTTTTGTAGATGATTATGTATATATCTTGAAGTGTTTGATAAAACAAAGGGATTAAATGTGTTTTAATTCCACATGTTTGTGCAAGTAGCCAAGTACTAACATAGTACTACTGTACTAAGAATTAAGAAATAATTCCCACGGAAATCCCACGTGTTACTCACAGCTAATTTCCTTAATATGGAAATGAGTCACGTGTTGTATTTCCACAAAACAAATATAGAAAAAAGATTCAAATTAAAATGGATATTTTGGTCCCGAAATCTCAACATTGGATCGCTGGACCCAACTACCCGAATTTAATATTAACTATAAAGTTAAACTAAGCCAAAAAGTTATGTTTGACCAAATTATTCCAAGAATGTTATTTGTCTCAGTATTTTTTAAAACAACTAAAGTCTTTTAATTAAAGGGCAGCCGTGGTTATCACAATTGATGAAATATGGGAGTTAAATGGATTAATATTGATATGGTATTTCACCACCACTCATAAAATATCAAAATAAGATAACGATTGTATTAAATGAACAAAAACCGAACAAATTTAAGCGAGGTGATTAATTTTACATTTATCAATTTTATCTTAAAATTCTTTTCATGATTCTAACTCAATGTAATACAGTATATTGACTGATTCAAGTTCCTTATATTATTCTAAATTTCATATCCTTCTACCTTGCAGAAAGAACGATAATCAAATAATTTTTGTTGTAATCGTCTTGAACAAGTCAAATTTATATTAACTGATTTTGTTAGAAACCTTCTTTCTATAGTTTTAAATTTTTGTCGGAGATATATCCAGCATGTGATTCCACCTGATATATTTAAAATATTTGTTCAAAAAATCAACTGCAACAGAAGATGAACAAGCTAATATTGTATTTGACTAAATTGTAAGAAGATTGATCATGTATCATTTTTTTTAAAGACAGGGAAGTTCTTCGTTTATTTTAGTTACTAAATACTAATAATAGCCATGCACTCTTACTTGTGATATTGAAATCATAGACCGATCCCGTAATTTGGTAAAGAAACCACAAACGGAAACACTATAAACGATAAATTATATATGTAAGTCGTAAGCACTTAGGTTGCAAATTTGTAGACTGATGACGACGAAAACTACAGTTAAAGAAAATGTGACAAATTAACTCATCCAATGTTTAAAAGAAGAAACACTTTTGTATTGGTTGTTTAATTAATTAATTAATTAGTGGGTTCAAGCTCACACAATTAATATATCCAAGACAGAACTTTATGTTATAACGGCTAACAGCTAATAAGTGTACACGTGGATAAGATTACATGTGTCTTACGCGCGTACGCTTCGCATACTGTGGTTCCCATTACCGTAGCCTATATATTCCTCTCTTTCTCACCTCTCTGTTTCAACTCCCAGCAAAAACCAAAACAGAGCAGAAGTCAGAAAAACGACTCTTCATTCGAACAAATCTTTATAAGAAATCGAATTCACATCTTTTTCTAGAAACCCAGTGAGGTAACTCGAATTAGCATTAACCGGAGTTCTTTTTTGGTTTTCATTTTCCGGCGATTTTTTGCACTTCTGAGTTATGAACAATGATGAGCTTATTTTGGCGGAGATGAGGCCAAAGAAGCGTGCGGGAAGGAGAGTGTTCAAGGAGACACGTCACCCAGTTTACAGAGGAATAAGGCGGAGGAACGGCGACAAATGGGTCTGCGAAGTCAGAGAGCCGACGCACCAACGCCGCATTTGGCTCGGGACTTATCCCACCGCGGATATGGCGGCGCGGGCTCACGACGTGGCGGTTTTAGCTCTGCGCGGGAGATCTGCGTGTTTGAATTTTGCAGACTCCGCTTGGCAGCTCCCGGTGCCGGAATCCAATGATCCGGATGTGATAAGAAGAGTTGCGGCGGAAGCAGCGGAGATGTTTAGGCCGGTAGATTTAGGAAGTGGAATTACGGTTTTGCCCTCTTTGGGAGATGATGTGGATTTGGGTTTTGGTTCGGGTTCTGGCTCTGGTTCGGGATCGGAGGAGAGGAATTCTTCTTCGTATGCATTTGGGGACTACGAAGAAGTGTCCACGACGATGATGAGACTCGCGGAGGAGCCGTTAATGTCGCCTCCGCGATCGTATACTGAAGACATGACTCCTAGTAATGTTTACACGGAAGAAGAGATGTGTTATGAAGATATATCACTGTGGAGTTACAGTTATTAAGTGGGACTCACTCACATATCTACTATATATATTATATAGTTTTTAAGTTATTTAGGTCCTCTTGGCGAGTTAGAAGGTTCCTTGATGGTATAATTTTGGAATCTTTGTACCTATAAATTTATAAACTTATTGGGCTTTATGAATGTTAATATACAATGGCTATAGGCCCAAGTTGTAGACATGCAAATTTCCAAAAAGTGTAATCTACTCGTAATAGAATTAAGGAGATTTAATCAAATCTTTTCTTTTTTTTGGTAAAAAATTTAATCAAATCTTGCTGGATACTAGTAGCACATAAATCTTGACTATTAGAGAGATTGACCATAAAAATATACAGTTTTGACTTGGGAATATTATAGTTATGCTTTCTTAAGATTATTATATTTGTGCTTTCAACGACTTTTGATTATACCAATAATAATAGGCTGCTCACAAAAAAACAAAAAAATTAGTAAGTTTTCCGGTGGAATTGCAATTCCCGAAATACTTTGCATAGACTGCATGTCACGATTACAAGTTTACAACTAGTAATAAATTCAATATCTTGAAACGAAATTCATGGTAAGGTCTTTTTCACGGAATTTATTATGGTAGGTCTTCAAATTAAATACTACAAAAGTTTTTATTTATTTTCATATTACACTGGTTTTTGGAAAATCCTAAATTCTCAGTCTGACGTGGCATGAGTTACCGGCGCGGAGCTAAAGAATGAAACACGTGGCTGTCTGAAACTGACTTTTTGGTTTTGCCAGCTCATCATTCGCTCTAACTCAAGTCACAATTCCCAATATTGGGAGAGTTCGTTATACGAGGTTTTGAAGCAAGTAATAAGTGCATGTTAATCATACTCCATCTGTTTTACAAAGAGTGTCATTTTAGAGTTTTGCACACAGATTAAGAAAACATTTAATTTTTTGTTTTTTCTAAACAAAAACATCATTAACTATATACCTAAACATAATCTGCCCAATAGTAAAACAATCTGCAGAATACTAATAGTCATAAAACATAAAAAAACAATTAAATTTTGCATTGAAAACGTAAAATGACACTCTTTGTGAAACGAAAATAAAACCTTAAAACGACACTATTTATGAAACGGAGGGAGTATAATTATTCACGGATTTGTTTTTCACTCTCAAAATCAAATACTACTACTATTCATCAATATCAACCGTTTTATATTTTATTTTATACTTTGTTAAAGTTTTTTTTGGGTCTAAATAACATAATTATCTAAAAACTAAGATAAATACAAACATAAGCGATAGAAAAGTAAAAGACAATTAGACCCTTAATCTCTTGTGAAATGATATTTAATTCAACAACTATGCTAAAAAGTGTTCGTGAGCGTTAAGTAAGAGAGTAAGAGAAAAAAAGAAATCCAGAAGGAGAATTATTTTGTTCTTTCTTCATTTGATTTATACCTTTCTTCATCTACTTGATTTGATTTATACCTTTCATCACTGACTCTTTTACTTTTACAAATCCTAAATCTTCAAAGACAGGAACAAAAAGAAAATCAGATTTCAGTTTTCCATTTCTAACATAGCATTCCTTGGTTTGATTTATTTTTCTTTCAAGATCATGAAGATTAACAGCGAAGAACAAATGATAAAACTGTTTGGAATTCCTCTTTCTGATAAACCCAGATGGCAACAATTTCTCATCTGTTCTTCTGGATTTTTCTTTGGTTATCTTGTTAATGGCATCTGTGAGGTTTGATTTTTTGTCTATTTTTTTAATTATAATTATGATAAAACCAAATCAGTAGGTTCAGAGACTTTTTCGATATTTTTCATGAATTGTTTTTATTTGTTTATTTTGATTTGATTTTGTCTGGGAAATTTCCGGTTTTGCATGCGGTGTGTTTCTCTGTCTTATTTTCTAGAGAAAAATTCCAAGGTTTAGAGAGATGAATCTGGTGTTCTTCTTCTAAAAATAACACAAAGACTTTTACCGAAAACGAAGGCGAAGATTAGGCTTGCAACTTTTTTTTTTTTTGTTGAATCTGAGATTTGTTTACATTTAATACAAAATATACAAATTTAATTTCTCGAGATTCTGCTTCTTTTTTTTTCCTATTGAGATTCTGTATTTGCCTAATCCCTATACATTTAACTTTATATCGCGAATTTATTAAAATTTAGATTTATTTTATTTGACTACAATTTCGGATCTTTAATACACCCTTTTTTTTTTGCAGGAATATGTGTACAACCGGCTTAAATTCAGGTACTTTAAAAGTCAAATTTTATTTAAAATACAAAATTTGTATAATAGAAGTATAATATATGTGTGTGGTGTGTTGCAGTTATGGATGGTATTTCACGTTTGCGCAAGGATTGGTGTACATTGCTCTCATTTACATATATGGCTTCAGGACGAAGCAAATGGTGAATCCATGGAAGACTTACGTGAAACTATCTGGTGTTCTTATGGGTTCTCATGGCCTCACCAAAGGCTCCTTGGCTTATCTCAATTATCCTGCTCAAATCATGTTCAAATCCACTAAGGTATATATTATAAGAAGATTTCACTTAACCAAGTAATAATATAGACTATAGTTTTATTAAAAAAAAAGTAATGGTATAGTTGAGCCGAGGGATCAAAGTTTAGATTAATCTCTGAGATCAATTCCGTTCAATATATAGATCATCGTTGCATTATTACATTGTCACTAACGGTTTGAAATCACATGGATTTTGTATCAATGAATATTAAGGTATGATTAAAAAAATCACTATCTTGATTCATCTCAGGGGTCTTGGTTAGCAAGATATGTTACGTTTTCTTAATGTGTAGACCATTGTGTAATTCTCGCAGTATCTCTAGTATCTCTAACATTGACTTGTTCCTCTGTTCTCTAGGTTTTACCGGTTATGGTAATGGGAGCTTTTATACCCGGGTTGAGAAGAAAATACCCTGTCCACGAGTACATATCAGCTATGCTACTTGTAATTGGTCTGATCATATTCACATTAGCTGATGCCCATACCTCCCCAAACTTCAGTATAGTTGGGGTTGTGATGATCTCGGGCGCTCTCATCATGGACGCTTTTCTCGGTAACTTGCAAGAAGCTATCTTCACGATGAATCCTGAGACAACACAAGTAATTTTTTTTTGCAGTTTCTCCTTTGTAATAATATCCCTCTTTCTCAGACTAACGGTTTTTTTTTTTCTCTTTGATGGTAGATGGAGATGTTGTTCTGCTCGACGGTAGTTGGCTTACCGTTCTTACTTGCACCAATGTTTCTTACCGGAGAGCTTTTCAGAGCTTGGAATTCATGTGCTCAAGTAAGCTTTATATATTATATAAGATTGTTAACTTTGTAAAATAACAAGTAGTGAACGGCCGTAATACTTCAATTCTTATTCGCCACTTGAAAATGACAAGAGACATTATATGATGATCATTGACTAATGTACTTGATTAATTGTATTTTTCTTAATTGACATTTTGGTAGCATCCATATGTGTATGGAGTGTTGGTGTTCGAAGCCATGGCTACATTTATCGGACAAGTCTCCGTTCTATCCCTCATTGCACTCTTTGGCGCAGCCACAACCGCTATGGTAAAACTACTTTCATCATTTTTACTATTGCAGTTCGGTTTTGTATAAAACCAATAAAGCATCGATCATATAGAGTTTAAGCAACATATTACTTTAGAGTTTAACTTCTGTATGTAGAAACAATGTAAATTAATATTTTGTTTTGTTTTGGGGAGTAGATAACGACGGCGAGAAAAGCGGTAACGCTGTTACTGTCCTACTTGATATTCACAAAGCCTTTAACGGAACAGCACGGCACAGGATTGTTACTCATCTCTATGGGCATTATTCTCAAGATGGTTCCTGATCCAAATCCAAACACGAAATCTTCGGGTTCGAGTCAGACACCCGGGAAGTTGGAACGGGTTAAGTTTGAGAAGGAAGACGATGAAGAGAGCCGGCCTTTGGTCTAATACCGACGAGAAAATTCAATTCTTATTTCGTTTCACATTTTATCTCAAGTATATTTGTGTATTAGAACGTAAGATTCTTTTTTTTACTTCTTTGTAGTTTAGAATCTTTAAATCGAAACATCATTAGCAATTCAATTTGAAACATGATCAGTAAGTACAAGTGCAAAGAAAATGTTTGGTTTTTTCATTAATTGGGTTCTTTTATTTTTATTGACAATGTTTCTCGTGAAGAGTTTGAACTTTGAACATACTTGTCTACTAAATTTTGTGATATTCTATCAGCTAAGGTTGTTTTTTAACATCTATGACTATATATCTAGCTTAGCTATAGTGTCGCCGCATATCAGCTAGTAATGAAACTTAGCGAATTAGTTCCTATGTAAATACAGAAGTGCTATTATCAATGTACCTCTCGTTCAGCGTCTGTAGTCCAACGGTTAGGATAATTGCCTTCCAAGCAATAGACCCGGGTTCGACTCCCGGCAGACGCAATTTTTTACCTTCTACTTTTTAAATTACTCATAACCGAACAATAACTTCACTAGAGAGATCAAAATCACACTCTATTTCCGCTTGGTTTATACAGGTTGAGGTCAGTTTCCATGGAAATGTTTTACTACAAAAACAAAGACATTGCACGAACAAAATCAGATGTGTACAATATATTATACTGATAACAGTTGTCTCTTCTTGTTGTTGTTCTAGCAGACGAGCGACAATCTGAGGGATGGAGCCGTGGGAATATGGGTGCAAGATGCCCATCTGATTATCGACGCTGTGACTGCAACATCCACCACCAACTGGTCTAGCTCGCCTAGTCCTATGGTCCGGTTTCTTTTACTGTGGAGACCTGACATTCTTGACCAGTTTCCTCTTTCCCTTCTTGTCTCTGACTTTCCTCCTGCTTCTGTCTGATTCTCCCCTGCTTCCTCGTGTCTCTCAAGTTGTGAAGAAGAATCTGGTGAAGGCAGTAACCTCTTTGGGCTTGAGTCTGTAAGAAAGGGACACAGATGATTTGATTAGCTCGAGACTAGATTTCCGGGTAAAACACCAATAAAGAAGATGATACTAATGCAAACTCATTTTCAATCAACTGATCCAGATATCGATTTCTGCTAAAGTTCTTAGGATTTTTTTTTAACTTTTTTGAATTAATTGCAAAAGCTTTTATATGAAAACAAAAAGGTTGAGGTCTTGGTTCAGGGGTTTGAAGTTATTTTCCTTGCCATGTTTAGCGAGTATACGTCTCTACATTTCTAGCAATCATCAAGTCCCAACATTCTAAGCCAAGGAAAAGTGAAAGAGGTACCTCGAACTTTTCCATCTGTTTCGCTTATGTTGTTGTTCTGTGTCGTCGCTGGGATTGGACTAAAAAAGGTAAAGCTTGGCATAGAGGGAATTCCAGTTGATGAGAAGCAAGCTGAGGTTGATTCCGGTTGTTTTCCATCAAAAGAAAACCCACCAAAACCGGAATTTGGCAGTGTATTATCCACAGGTAGGAAAGACGAGAACGATGATTTACACTCGTTATCTGTTGATTGCTCTAACTGACCAACACTAAAGCTATAGTCTTGTTCGCGAGAAATGCATTGGGTGGAAAAAGAACAACCCCCATTATCCAATCCTTCACAACCAAACCCATCCTGATCATATTGTTCTTGACCTGATTCAGATAACTGCTCCATCCAAGAGTGAGCTGCAAACAAATGCATAAAAAAATTATCAATCTGCTGTAATCAACAAATCCATAGACAACATTAAAGTAATATCTCAGTGGCTTCGCATGTTTAGAAACATGGATAACTTGCTTGAGACAAGCATACAAACAAATCATCATTTCCAAAAGTTTCAAAAAACGATTGAGATGACATACCCAGAACATCATCAGCTGATAATCTTTGGGAAGGATCAACACAAAGCATCCCGCGGATCAAATCCTTAGCATATGAAGTTATATGGTCCCATGGCTCTGCAGAAAATCTCAAATCTGCAGCCCTGACAGCATCAAAAATCTTTGACTTAGTCTTTCCCCAAAAGGGAGGCACTCCACTGAGAAGAATGTACAAAATAACCCCTGCACTCCATACATCAGCAGCTTGGTTATATCCCCCTGATAACACTTCAGGGGCTATATAAAACGGACTACCAACTGTTCCGCTCAGCTTTTCGCCTGCTCACATGAAAACCCATTTCTTAGACTACACAATGTCCATTTTTCGATTTGATAACTTATAAGAAGTCAGTGATTTTTATCTTACCAGGCTTTATATAGGTTGCCAGTCCAAAATCAGCCAATTTGATAGGAGATGAAGAAGACATTGTGGCCATTAGAATGTTTTCCGGTTTCAAATCTCTGTGAACAATACCGCTATCGTGACAAAACTTGACCACTTGCATCAAATGCTTGAAGAGTACCCTAGCACGAAACTCTGAATACCTTCCATATTTCTCAAGCTTGTGAAAAAGCTCACCGCCTGCGCATAGTTCCATCACAAGATGCACATAATCTTTCTCCTCATAAACTGCTTTGAGATTCACCACATTTGGGTGCCCAGCTAACTTGGCCATAATCGCAATCTCGAGTTTGATACTCTTCATGTCATCTTGTGTTACCAATCTGTCTTTAGATATAGACTTACAAGCAAGCCTCTCTCCTGTTAACTTATCAGAGCATACTCTTATCACACCAAACTGACCCCAACCTAACTGTTCTCCAAGCACATATCGATCTTTTAAGTTGGAAACATTTACCGGGTTTAGAATGGTTTCAGTAAGGCTAGCAACTTTATAGCAATTGCAGAATTCGAATAAAAGCGGGCTCGTATTCTCCTTATCAGCTATGTCCATACCCATATACCCAAACGTTCACCGATCAAAAACCTCTCTAGCAATAAATCTCAGGTACAATCTTACAGTTATAATACCCAATTAAGCCTAATCCGGCAGGCGAATCTTCTCTTCGATGAAATCGCAAGCTGCATTCACCTTCGGAACCTCCGATCTGTAAAGTTTCAAGACTTAAAACCTCAGATTTAAGCACTAATCCACAAAGTAAACAGCAACTGAAATTGGAAAAGATTCCACCTTTGACGAAAACATTCCATTTGTATTCCCCACAAATGAAACTCAATTTAGCTTCAAAGTGAATCTAAAACAAAACCCATAACTCAAATTCCTACAGAGATCGAAGAACTAAAGCACATCACAAAACTCGATAATGAAGATTTTTGAGCTCAAAATCCTAAGGAATACGCAAAACCCTCGAATCGAATCATTGAAATGCATCGACTTAATCAACTAGACAGGCTTAAACTTAGATACATAAAGAAAAAGCAACAAACTTGCAGGAATCTAGATAAGAACAAGAGTATAAAGCTCGCCAACTGCTTCAACTTGAAAGGTAAAACCAAAATCAATCCAACCTAAAAAGATGAGTTTTTTTGTAAGAGAAATTCATCTAGAGATTGAGAAATTGTGGTTACCTCTTTTTTTTTTTGCAAAAGAGTAGTGAGAATCCCGTCGAAGAGCAAAACAACAGCTATAGGTTGCAGCGAAGAGACCAGACCCAGTCCTCTACTTGCTCTCTCTCTCTTCTTCTTCTCTTTCAAATAAAATGCCGTGTCAACTTGTTACCGGGAGAACCAGTTTCACGTTTACTTACTTCACGAGAAGTTCTTAATTACAATTCAGGCCACTACTTTTTGCCTATTTCTACTTTTTGCCTCATACTTTTTAATTTTTAGGTTTGAGGTTTGACCATTGGCGACGCGAGAAGCCATTTTATGATTTTTATCCATGAATATTGGAACTTATAAATATTCAATTTGATGAAATTGAGGTTCCGAATGGAGAAAGCGGATCAGGCAGAGCGGATCAAGCGGTTCAAGCGGATCAAGTGGAACAAATGCAGAACGAGCGTTTCTGGCGGAATAAGTGCGGATCAACGGATCTAGCGGTCTAAAATATATGTTGAATGGTGAAAGCGGATCAAATAATGCAGATCAAATATTTAAATGATAAAAACTATAAACACTAAATAAAATATTAGACATACTAAAATAAATAAGATTATGTAAACTTTGCACTTTACAATAGACCGCAAACCTTAGTATAAAAAAATATTTCTCTCTTAATTTATAATTTAATTTATATATTTTACAAAATATTAAACATAATATTATAAATTATAGTTATGCTATATTAGTTTAGCATTTTTTAACATGTAGTTTGTGTAGAAATATCAATATAATATTTTTATCGTTAAGATTATTTATTGTTTTATTCTTAGTTTTATAACAATATTATTTAATATTTTGTTCAAAAATATTAATAAATGTAATGTATATCAAAAATATACATTTAATATATGAACTTGAAATAATTCTGATGCCTAAACTCTCTGTGACAGAAACAATTGAGAAAAGACTGTATCAATAGATTAAATTATCATATTTCTTATTTTCTTTTTTAAAAAGCAGAAGAAACGCTTGAAACACCCTAGATTTGTCGAGGTATTACTGTAGCAAGCGGATCTTATTTTTTACTCTTGTATTTGAACCACTTGTGGTTCACCAATATTTTATTATTTAATCAAATGAACTGTTTCGTAATTGAATAAAAATGGTGAATGGAAACACAAATGCAGTTCACCCTATGAAGTGGACCGACCGTCTTCCCTCCGTGTCTCCATTCACACCCTGAGTTTTGTTAATTCAATGATAAATAAATTTGAAAAACACTACATACAATGTCATAAGTGGAAATGAATGTTAACAAAACATTTTATAAATAAGAATATATTATATTATAAGTTTATAACTGATATCAATATGCCAGCAAAAAAGCTTTAGTGTATTTTGGAGATTAAAAATGTTTTAAGGATAAAATGTAAAAATAAATTTTGGAAGAGTAAGTAAACTATTAGTTCGACGACAAAAAAAAAAAAAAAAAAAAGGAAACTATTAGTTCTAACTTCTAAAATGATTTGGCCTTGTTGTGGAGTTGGTCTAGAGGAAAACTTATCCAACGTCACACCAAGAAGCTTTTTATAGTTCGTGACGATAATAAATTAGACAGCACCCATTTCAAGTATGCCACTTGGTAATTTGCTGACCGTTCGAAGCAAAGCGGGACCTCTATGTCTTTCACCTTTTTTTCTGTTTGCTTCGCTGTCTGAGACTCTCGAGTAATTAACCTACTTATAATAAGTATGATTTTTGGTAACTTAATCATTAGAGTTAGTAGTGTTCAAAAAAAAAAAAAAAAAAAAAATCATTAGAGTTAGTTGATTTGTCTATGCTTTTGAGAACCAAAGAGACCTCCATCTGTATTTCATGTTAATGAGCTGTACAAGCATTGTGTACTCCACTATTTCTTTTTTTGCTTATTCATTTCCGAGTTTTATATGTTTTGACTTTTGGTATAGCATTATTCCCTTCCTCTGACTTCTGATTTTTGTTTTTGTTTTTGTTTTTTATATCAAAACTTCTGATTCTACTTTGAAAACCAAATATGGAATTCATTTATGCTAAGAGTGTATGTTGTTATATTCCAAGTCGAATCGATTTGGAATACTTTCGTAGTTTTGTGTGTGTGTGTTTTTTTTTATCAGCATTCTATATTTTACGTTCTTGAGGGATGCCAAAAATTTTGATGACAAAAAGAAAAAATAAAATAAAAGAAAATGTATGATGGGCTTTTTAGCCCGTTTGCTTTGGTAATTGAATCGACACGGCGCAAATATAATGGCCCATAGTTTCATAAATTTTTCACATTTTTTGCTCAAAGAAAATAAAAGAAGAAAAAAACTACAGTATGCAATTCGAGCATACAAAAAATTCTAAAATTCTACTTATTATTACTCTGTATAGTAGTTCATGTCTTAATGACACGACCTTATCATGTGCTACGCCTACATGATATATTTACCAATCCTCTATAGTGACTACTTCAACATTTTTGTTTACTATTTCAAAAATTCGCCTAGAATCTAGAGAGTATATATATAGACATGATAAGACATATCAGTTATAGAAAATGTATATTAGTTCACAATCAATATAATCTAATAGGCATTACTAAACAAAACCTAAAAGTCATGATCATTTGCAAATTATATTGATTGTCATGATTATTTATGGTAAAAGTGATGATCAATAAGTTACTTAAAAAAAAATGGAGTATATTGCCAATTTTCGTTTCATTTATACGTACGAAACCAATTTATGAATCATTATATCCACCTAACATATTCGGCTTATTATGATCACACGATCGAGAAAGAAATTGTTGGTGCATTTTAAATGTAAGTCTGTAACCAACTGTCTATTATTAGACGTGGGTCTTACACACACACACAAACTTACAAAAAAAAAAAAAAAAAACTTACATAAATATATACTAGTATCTAATTATAATTCCAATTTCAGATTTCTTTATTCATGTCCAAGAGAGACAGGTTAAGTGTATCAATTTCTATATCACATTCCCTATAAGTTTTATCGGTCCATTTGGTTTCTTCTCTCATGATACTTCATCTAACTTGCATTTTCTTTAAATTACATTAATTTATTTATCTTTTGGGTCTTATTTATCTGCTTCTTCAGTTGACACGTGTCCATGAAAATAGACATAGAATCTTGGTGTTGTATTTCCTCAGAATTAGATGGACTCTTAATTGCCTCTAGCTATATATACAATGAAAAGGTCGAAACATTAATTTCAACCGTAGGTCATTACAAACCTTTATATAAATTAGCCAGTATGGTATCATATATATATAGGCATACAAAGTGAGAAAAACTCCAGATTTTGCTTTATTTCAATTTTATAAGTAATGATGGATAGATTTTGGTCATGGAGATTGTTTGTTGCTCTTCCTCTTTTCCTCCATTCTCCAATTTGTTCTTCTGACAAAGGTAATATTCATGAACTACAAATAGATTCATATATATATGTACTCATGTTAGTGTGACGTCATAATTTTATCCTTTGATCGCAGCTCCAAACTACTCCTTCATGCGGGACGCGACAGGAAGTCCAACAACGTCGTACTACGACTATATCATCATCGGTGGTGGGACCGCAGGGTGCCCTCTAGCCGCAACGCTGTCTCAAAACGCTAGCGTTTTGCTGCTTGAACGCGGTGGCGCACCGTACAATAACCCTAACATCACGAGCCTATCGGCTTTCGGAGCCGCTCTTTCTGACCTGTCTGAGACCTCACCATCTCAGCGTTTTGTATCGGAAGACGGCGTCATTAATGCACGTGCTCGTGTTCTGGGCGGCGGAAGCGCTCTTAACGCCGGGTTCTATACACGTGCCGGCACCAAATACGTTAGGTTAGTGCATATGTATGTACTAATGTGCAGTAACACTGATACGCATGCATGCGTATTTACATATACATTTGAGGTATAACGAATTTTCTTTATCTAAAATTATTTTCTTCAACTTTATCTATATACGACTATACTTATAAGTAAATTATGCATATTATTAAATTTATTTCTTGCACAATATTTACGATTATATGTTTTTTTTATTTAAAAAATATTTAGTTTTACATAAATAGGACCGCAGATATAAGAATTTTTTTTACCGGTCTATCTCACTAGTCACTACACCAAAGGTTGAATGTCAACGTAATTTGTTTGATGTATAGTAAAGATACGTGGATGCTTTGGACAATAAAAATGGAATAAATATATGATCGATCCACTTAGGGAGACATTAATATATGTAGGACAACTGGTGATATATATAACTATATACAGTATCATCACACACTTAATAGAAGAGAAAATGATCTTATAGAGAATTGTCATTTAATTCTGCTAGGGTGTTACATAGTACAAATGTACAAGATATTTAGTGTTGTCGATGCGTTTGGTGTGTTCACGTTATAATAAATAATTAATACGAATTGAAATGTTGTTAGGAACATGGGTTGGGACGGAGCGCTAGCGAACGAGTCGTACCAGTGGGTAGAAGCTAAAGTGGCGTTTCAGCCTCCGATGGGGCGGTGGCAAATCGCCGTGAGAGACGGCTTATTGGAGGCTGGGATTGTCCCTAATAATGGTTTCACTTATGATCATATCAATGGCACCAAATTTGGCGGTACTATTTTTGACCGCAACGGCCATAGACACACCGCCGCCGATTTGTTAGAGTATGCCGACCCTAAGGATATTACCGTCCTTTTGCATGCCACCGTACATCGGATCTTGTTTCGTACTCGAGGTACTTAATGTAGCATTGCAGAATATTATCATCGATCGAATAAAATACTTAAAACGTACTATATTAAACATATTCAATCATGGTAGTTAAATAAAAACTTTGGAGGGAAACTTTTGTCCTATTTCCCTCATGGATTTAATTTTGTAAGTCATCTTAATATGGTTTGAATCTGATATTTGTGCACAATCAATGTCTACTTTTTTTCACTATACATTTCATGTAAATTCTCTTAGTCCATGACTATTGTTTCTAAATCAAGTCTTGCTTATTACACTTTATTGTAATTCATTTTGTTACCACTAAATCAGATATTCAGATTATTAGCTAACTACCAAAATTTCCATTTATTCACGTTCAAGATACGACCAAGCCAATAGCCAACGGAGTTGTGTACCGAGACCGGACTGGTCAGGCTCACCGAGCTTACCTAAAGGAAGGCGCATTGAGTGAGATCATCCTATCGGCCGGAACCCTAGGGAGCCCACAACTTCTTATGCTAAGCGGTGTCGGCCCATTGGCTCAATTAGAGGCCCAAAACATCACGGTGGTGATGGACCAGCCTCATGTGGGTCAAGACATGTATGACAACCCTATGAATGCCGTGTTCGTTCCTTCTCCAGTCCCCGTTGAGGTCTCACTCATTGAGGTTGTTGGCATTACCGGCGAAGGAACATATATCGAAGCTGCCGGTGGCGAAAATTTTGGAGGAGGTGGTGGTGGTTCTACTGGATCCTCCAGTACTAGAGACTACTATGCAATGTTTTCACCAAGGGCAACATTATTAGAGTCAAATTCAATGACCAAATTATCATCAGCCCAACCTTTTCAAGGAGGCTTCCTTTTAGAGAAAGTAATGGGCCCACTATCAACGGGTCATTTAGAGCTCAAGACCCGAAACCCAAAAGATAACCCGGTTGTGACTTTCAACTACTTCCAACATCCGGACGACCTAAAACGTTGTGTTCGAGGGATCCAAACCATAGAGAGAGTCGTGCAATCTAAAGCGTTTGCAAGGTATAAGTACGCAGATATGTCATTTGAGTATTTACTTAACCTCACCGCGAGTACCCCGGTCAATCTAAGGCCGCCTCGTAGCGGTCCTGGAGCCTCGTTGCCTCCATCCGCTGAGGAATTTTGCCAGCATACAGTTACAACCATTTGGCATTACCATGGAGGATGCATTGTGGGCAGAGTGGTCGATGGGGATTATAAAGTTATTGGTATCGACCGGCTTAGAGTCATTGATATGTCGACCGTTGGTTATTGTCCCGGGACAAACCCTCAAGCCACGGTTATGATGCTTGGCAGGTAAAATAAGTCATATGCATTATGTTGATGTTTAACTTTTTCTGACTAAAGGCTAATGATATTTTCGATGATTAAATATTTGCATGCAGGTACATGGGTGTGAGGATCCTGAGAGAGAGACTCACCAAGAAGTAGGGTTTTGAATTGGATCAGGGTTTTTGTGAAAACTTTATAATGAAATGAATCGATTTTATTAACCAATGTTTTTAATAGCCGAATATGTATTGTTCTTGAAGTGTACTCATTATTGGACCAAATTGAGATGTATAAAGGAAATATATTTTTTCCAATAAACCCTAGAATTATGTAGACTCATTCCCAATTTTCAAAACTCCCCTGTTGTCTGTTCCATATTCTGGTTCAAGATCTTTTGTTATTTTTTTTTTAACCTTTGATCTCTGTCTTCCAGTTAGGTTCGACAAACAAACTTGACAAGAGATTCTTTTATAGACAACATCTCCGGGAACTCTTGGTCGAATCATACTCATTTTTACTCCTCGGAGCTATAATCACTTTCGCATGTTCTTCGAATGTTCGAAGCTCAGATCGATAAACTCATTGAGCATACGTTTTCATAAACTTTAAGCAATTCATCTACCTATAATATCAAGAACCATGCTTAAATCCAGGTTTCCACCAAAAACGAGCCATAACCTTGATATCACAGAAGTGACAGAACCAATCTGAAACACTGAACTAATAGTCGTCAAATCAAGAACCATGATTAAAACCCCAAGTATAGCCATTAAACCCAGATTCAGACAATAATGAGCCATGAATCCATGATCCTAGTGAGAATCTCAGGGCATAGCAAATGTTTAGATCAGAAGCAAAACAAAAAAAACAGAGCTTTTGAATGACTTGAAGTCTAAAACAGATCAAACTAAGTGAAACGGGACGAAACAAGTCATGGATTTATGGTAATTTTTGCTGAATAGAAGGGGATATCGAGATTGTGTTTAAACTTGAGGCAAAACATTGAAATTAAATTTAAATTATTATTCCATACGGACATATATCTGTCAAGGCAAGTGGCGTAAAGAACAACGTTTTTTATGTGTTAAATAGAAAAAACCTAAAAGACAAAAAAGCAAGCGATTTATTGGTAGAAAATTTACAAATAACAAAACGAAAATTCTCTTGATCAAGAAGTGTTGACTTCATGATTTTTATAAGAAGAGTTATATCACAATTAGATACATACATTATACATACATGTAGATGCATAACATAAAGCCGGGCCACCACAACAAAAAAGGCCACCGAAACTCTTTTGAAAAAAGAAATAAGAAAACTCCGTTTGAGTTTTTGTTAGGTCAAAAGCGAAATTTCAACGGAAATTGGCGGTGCTCTTGTAAGTCATACCGGCGTTCCAGTTAGCCGGAGCAACGTTCCAAGCATAGACGGTTTCACCGGTGGTGTATGAAGTGACCCGGAAAGAGAGAGATTGACCGTAAAGAGAGGAAAAAGCTTGGTAAGAGGCTCCCCAGTTATGGCTCATACTTATCCAATTTGTGCGGCTACCTTTCACGGCCATGCTCTTGATGTCTCCGGCGCCACCAACGTTCATGACGAAGACGAGAAGCCAATAAGAATTACCTTGGAATTGAAACCTCATACCTCCACTCCTTTGGCATGGCACTCTATATGATCAATAACATATATTAGTTATATATATAGTTTTAGAATAATATATGAGGTTGAATAACTAAGTGTCGTACAAAACGATATATATATACCTTCGGTAGGCAACTGGGATGATACCGGCCTTCCAGTTAGCGAGTTTCATGAAAGCCGGTTTAGCCATATCGAAATGGGTTCTAGGAGGATTGCACCAACCACCATTGTTGGAGTCTTGGTACCAATTAGGAGGGCAAAGATTGGTGGCTGTGACAACGGTTGATTTTCCGTAGTAACAATGAGGTGATTTCGAACATGTTATTTGAAAACATTGGCCACATCCGTAACCATCTTTGAACAATGTCGTGCTTAGCGCCGCCGTGGACAGTCCGTAGCCGCTGTTAAAAAGGTTTCCGTACCCACATGCACCACCTACACACATATATATAAATGTAAAGTTACTAAGTTAAAACATTTTTTGTTAACCGTGCGAGATATTCGAAAACGTTGGACAGACTTCATGCATGGTACGTATTACGTATATGAAAGAGACGTGAGATGAGATTTTTTACGTACCCATGGTTTCACTACCGGTCTCATCACCGTAGAAAGTGGCGTGAGCATATCTCCATGGGCCTGGTCGATAGTATCCGGCGACGAACTCACCGGATATGGCGAAAACAACGCAAACTATAGCGAAGAATTTGTTGAAACTCCAAGAACTTGAGACTGGACCCATCGTTTATTTCTCGTTTTCCTTAATTTTCGATGACTTTTCTTAGGGTTTGTGTTTTGTTTGTTTGTTTGTTGATGAAGTAATCGAATTTGAGACAATCTTATATAGAGGGGCTTTTCAACGACAGTAGTGGTGGCTACGTGAGGATCACTATATATCCTTTTTCTAATTCCTTTTTTATTGGAGACTTTTGTCCGTACTGATTGGGATTTGTTTCATTTCATTGAATATTTGCAATAGAAATAATAAAATTTAGAAGGAAAAAAACAGGTCAATTGTTGTTTAAGCGAGGTTTTTGAATATAGTATAAGTTGACGTGCGAGCAGGTTCTATAGGCGGTTCGTGTACCGACTCTATCCAATCTCTATACGTGCGTTTATTTATATACAATGATTAGTTTAATTGAACAGCAGACATTGATTTTTGTATTGCGTTTGTCAACTATTTCTTTCTGTAAATAGAAATAGGCAACATAAAATGCAATTTGTGATGTTTTAGTACTTGAATGATTTATTCCGTAAGACTAAAGTTTAAGTTATACAATTTCTATTGACAAAATATGTTATACAATTTCGATTATGGTTGGTCGATTCTGTTCGAATGACAAAATTATCCGACTCTTCTACATGTATCATTAATTAGTTTAAGTTTCTGTATGAAATTATTGGTTATAGAATGGAAATCAATGTCAGTTTAAAGAAAAACTAATATGTGAAACTGTGTTTTGTATAATGTTTAACAGTATACAAAACACAGTTTATTTTTGAATTATTGATTCATAAACAATAGATTTGATTATTACAAATATCATTAGAACCAAAAGGTTATTGTAAACATTCTGATTATTTTACCAATTGTAATGTTCCGACTAAATATATTCGACGAAATTAGTCATATCTACAACGTGGGAGAATGTAGGGGTAGTAGTAGCTAGTAAAAGATGAAAACAGTAATTTACTCAAGCAGTAAAGCCAAAGAGTATATTTTGCAAGGTACGTACATTCAAATATTCAATACACTTTCTTTTTAGATTATTGATTAACAAACAATAGATTGATGATTAAACCGGACGCTCTCTCAATCCAATTGAACCGGGGAAAGCAAAGGCCGGTTTGAGAAAAACGCCCTCAAGTTAGCTAAACCGATCTCTGCAACATTGTCCAAAGACCCTGAGGTAGCCACAGCTAAATGTGGAGACAACACAACATTGTCCAAACCAAACAACTCCTCAGGAACTGCCGGTTCGTTCTCAAACACATCTAAACCGGCACCACCAATCACACCTTCAACCAAACACTTCACCATCTCCTTCTCATCAATCAAACCTCCTCGTCCCACATTGACTATAACCCCATCCTTACCAAGCGACTCCATCACTTCTCTATTCACAATGTGGTGCGTTTCATCTGTCAGAGAGCAGCAGAGGACGAGGACATCGTTGTCGGCTGCTAAAGAGAGAATGTCGGGGTAATATCGGTATGAACTACTCTGTTTCTGACTTCTTGAGTTGTAAGAGATGATACAGCCAAAGGATTCAAGTCTTTTGGCAACAAAGGATCCAATCTTACCTGTAACAACCACAAAGACTTTCACCAACACATAGCAAGATCCACACACACTAAAGTTGTCATCTTTCTCCTGATCAAACTCAAACAAGCTAGCTTTCATGAAGATTGCTCCATGAATCATATGTAGACAACCAGAAACACTTAACACTTAACTTTTCTCAGAATCCAAAAAACACGCTTTTAAAGATCACTAAGCAAAACATTTCCCTAACTCTCATCGAATCTCACTACAGTTATAGATCAGAATTCGAAATTGAGAGTTTGATTTCGAACAAACCTTGGACCCTAATTGAAAATCCCCAAATTTCGCCCAATTACCAGACCGGACGTAACGATCGGCGGCAGGAATACGACGGAGAACACTTAAAAGCAAACCGACGGCACAATCCGCAACGTCATCGGAAAACGCGTTGCCAGCGTTCGTGATAACGAGATCGCGACGCTTGCATGCGGCGAGATCGATGTGATCGATGCCGACGCTAGTGCAGACGAGTATCTGGAGAGAAGGGAGATGAGATAGGAGTTCTTCGGTTACCGGAAGTCTGCCGACGACAACGAAGGCTCTGGCTGAGGAGGCGTGACGGGAGAGGAAACTCGGGAGTGATTCCGATGAAGTGTCGGTGATGAGAGTCCGGAATTCACGACTCAGAGTCTCGTCCATGAAAGTTAGAGACGGTGGTCGGTGAATGAGAACAAGCGGAGGATCTGAAGATTCCGTCATTGATTCTTGATCGGAGACTGGGAGAGAGGAGGACTCTAGCCACTCTTTACATCTTTAATTATCTTTTTCCAATAATTATGTAAAAAACAATAAATATTTTAGCTTAATGATCATATTTGTTTGAAAGATTATTTAAGCAAATAGAGAAATTAAATTATTAAATTCATTTGACAGCTTTTTATCAACATAGTTTTGTCTTTTTTTTTTTTTTATCGATAATTTAAAATGAATGAATTTATTTCAGAAATATTTATACAGTAACAAAAAAAAAATCAATGTATGTGAGCTATTTTGTTACATAATAATTTTTTAATTATTAGTACAAAATAGTTAGAAAACTGTCATTTCACAAAAATTTGCATCAAACAAATTATTCATACAAGAATTTAATTATTCAACAATTCAAACAACATTCACATCAAAAACAATACAAACTTCTAACAAACAAAAACAAAACATGCTTGTGGTGGTGGAATGGTTGAGGATCCAGATCTTAGAACTTATAACATGACTACGTATGTGGTTCCCATTTTGATTATGTTTTCTTGAAGCTCTGAGTAATAAACCTCTATTCCCTCCTCGACCTACACAATTTTAAAAACTTTCCCAAAATATTAATATTTATCTCTCACCACATAAAATATATATTAACCCAATCTTTCCTCATAAATCAGTGAAAATAGATTATAGATAATTACCTCAGAAACAATGGTGTGTACTATTCTTTGGTACAACCTAGTTGAGATGCAACTAACAACATTAAAGCATTAATTGCTCTTCTGCCAGAAGTTGAAGAACACTTGAGAGACAAGATTCGTGTCTGTAACAACAACTTACTACGATCTCTAGTCCGATCAAACAAGGCCTAACCACAACAGCAATGTGTGTGTCTCCAACATGTACAAGAACAAGTTGATGATGTTAATGATATTATTGAACATTCTCCTGTTGAAGATGGATGAGTAATAGATCTCTTGATTCTATCTCTTTTTTTGCTGACCTCTTTGATCTTCTTCTGTAAGTCTTTGATGTAGTTCACAGCTTCTAGAACGTGATCTGCCGAAGAACGTTTACCCTATTTATGCAATTATTTATTACCGTGATTAGTCTAATTCATGGATTTTCGATATAAAAACTTTAATTGGATTTTCGATATAATATTATACTTCAAACCAAAGTTAAATCTAGTGGATTTGAGACAGAATTTATATAAGATTTTTTTTTTTTGTATATGGATTTAATAAAGAAGATAAGTAAGAATAGTAAAATGTACTTACCTTAGTGTATTGAGATGGCAATAAATATCTTAAATTCTTGAATAGAGACGTGATTTCTTGCCTTCTTTGTCTCTCAAGCTCTTTATGTTTAGCTCTCTTGTTCTTCGGCTCATCGTCTCCTTCCCTGATTTCGCTTGTCACCATGGTCGTCTCACAGGCTTTTTGTCTTCCATCGTTTTCAATCCCAGCACAACGAATGACCGGATTACATGGATAAGGTTCTTGGAATGATATATGCGTTGAAGGAGTGATCAAAGTAGAGAAATCTAAATCCTTTTCATAAGCAAAATCTGGTGTGAACAATGAAGAATCTGGAAAATCCATAGGGTGATATATGCCTTTTTTATTTTCTTGTTGGTGGCTGTGGGAGTTTTTTTGGTAATAAGAGGATCTTTGGGTGCTTTGAGTTCTTTTTTTTTTTTTGGGCAAACGAGTTCTTTTTTATTTATTTATGCAGATTTTCGATGGCAATGTTGTTAGTCATTTTATACCATCCAAGATTTATTGTTTCTTATGACCATTTTTTCAACTTACTCTTTGAAAAGAAACTTTTTTGACCTCAAAGAAAAACAGCGTTAAAATCACCGATATTTTATTTCGAAGGACATAAGCATTTTAAACGATTTAACTTGAGCTGTACATTTAGTGGCTATCAGTTATAATATAGTTACGTAAGGAACAGTTAATTAAATTTAAAATGTGCTTTATTCACAAACATCTTTTGTTTCATCCGACAGTATGTTCTAATTGAATTAATAAATGATTTTTAACTTTCAATTAATTCAGCCAAATAGTTATAGTCAATTTCTTATTTACTACTCCTATGTTATGTAAATACTGATTTTTTTAAAGTTCCCACAGAAAAATTAAAAGGGACGATGACTAGTTCTTAACAATGCATACGTCATTTTCTTACACAAAACACTTTCTACTAATAGTCTAATAGTAATTGTATTGAAAATCTACAAAATGATTTAGAAAAAAATGAAAATCATCCAATCTAAAAATAATACTTCTTGTATAGTTCATAATATTTTTCACGTTATATATGAACTTGTATTATAAAGAAAGTCTTGTCATTTCTAGTTTACCAAAGATGCCGAAATACATTATTTAATTCTTAGGCCGCCTAGAAACATATAATCATGGACCTATATTTTATATTATTTCGGTCGACGAAAAGTTAGTATTTAAGATTTATGTCAATTTCATGCGAAAAGTTAAATGATTATTTATATTAACATAGGACTAAGAATATACGATATGTTTTATTGTGTTTTTTTTCCTCTGGACATGCTATTGCATGGCATCTAAATAAACGATTCGTAACATCGATCATACTTTTTCGTGGACAAAGACCCAATCTACTAATGAGCACGTAGCAAAACTGATCGTTGTTGGTTAAAAATTTATACCAGAACGGCAGAACATTTAGTTTAATTTGGTATTCGTGTTTAGAGATGGGATTTGGTCATAAAAATTAGCCGTTAGAGTATAGTCATATAGATATGTAAAATCACGAATTAAAAAACAATCACTTCTTATCATTTAAATGTCCTTTCAAGAGAATTTGCAGAGTTTTTTTTGGGGATTATTGTTTAAAATGCCCTTTTTTGGAAAAAACTTATGAAAATGCCTTTTTTTGAATAGTTTACGGATTTTACCTTTTTTTTAACACTTAAAAATGTACGTATTTAGGATTTTTTTTTCCAAAAATACGTACTTTATACCAAATACTAAACCCTAAGAACAAATGGAACCGACTAAACCCAAACATAACGAGTGAAACGCATGTTAAATCATATTTTTGGAGCATGAAAAAGGACAAAATGCATAAACTATTCAAAAAAGGACAAATCCACAAATGCCCTTATGAAAAAGGACAAAATCCGTAATTTATTCGTTTTTTTGTCTCTCTTTAGCTTTTTTTGTGTCTTACAAGTTCAACATTATCTAATTTATATAAACGCATGAACCATAAGATAAGAGCTACCAAAAAGATAATGAAGAATACGTACGTTGTATGACATCATGAAATGTTTTTATCAAAAAAAAAGATCATGCAATGTTGAGAGTCATCAAAATATACAGTCCGGTTACTTGTAACCCATATATATATATTATATATATATAGTATATCTTCATACTAACTAAGAGCATGCACATAGTTGATATTCATAGAGTATTATAAACAATTTTTTAGTATTAGTTTTAATGTTTGTTTATTGTTTGAGTTTTTTTATGATACTGATAATAAATCTGTTTCCAGTGGTGAGACTGGTATCAGTATCATAAATTAAAAAAAAACTTATTTGCAAAATCGAAAATAAAAATATATAAAAACATAAGATTACAAAAGATAATATTACAATCCATAAAAACGTAGAATATACTTAAGCAAAACATATCTTGTGGTCGAAGCAGGTAATTGCAGAAACTCATTGAACTTGTAATTATTTTGTCTATCTTATATATAAAGGGATTATTGTTTAAAATGCCCTTTTTTGGGAAAAACTTACGAAAATGCCCTTTTTTGAATAGTTTACGGATTTTGCCCTTTTTTAACACTTAAAAATGTACGTATTTAGTATTTTTTTTTCCAAAAATACGTACTTTATACCAAATACTAAACCCTAAGAACAAATGGAACCGACTAAACCCAAACATAACGAGTGAAACACATGTTAAATCATATTTTTGGAGCATGAAAAAGGGCAATATGCATAAACTATTCAAAAAAAGGCAAAATCCACAAATGCCCTTATGAAAAAGGACAAAATCCGTAATTTATTCTATATATAAATAGTAAAAGATTGAAAAGCCCTACGATCAAAATCGTTCAGAGATATTGTTTGAGATGTTTGTAGATGTTTGTTCAAAGATGTTGTTTGTCCGTGTTTGTGGTATTTCTGATCTTGTTATTGGAGTTCTCGTCATTATTGTTTGAGATAGTTGATTGCAGAGCCCTACGATCGAAGCCGTTCAGAGATATTAACGGCCATGATCAAACAAAGCCATTCAGAGACTTTATTTTAAAAAAAAACAAAAAAAAAACATTCACGGTCCAATGACATTCTGCCACATCACACGATACTGAGTATCACAAATATCAGTGGAGTGATACTCATCAGACAAGTATCAGGCCCAATTACATGGTTTGGTCTATTAAAAAATTGTTTTTGGGTTAATGATACCAAGAAAAAATCACCAATGTACATGGTCTAAGTAACTAACCACAACAGTTTTCAAGCCAAGTATAAAGATTTAAAGAGTTGATATTAGAAAATTCGTTAATCACAAGTTTCTCAATGATAATCTAGCTATAAATGATTAATGATCTATGAATAGTGTAAAGTAGCTAGCTAGTTAACTGTTCAAATATGGTTGATTCAACTGGAGGATAGATTTGTTTTACATTTGTGGATGTGGATCTATGATCCATCATAAAGCCCTAACAATTAAGTTAAGAATAAGATTACGAAAATAAAATAGCACTATTCGTAGATGCAACCAAACTACTGCCTAAAATTATTATTATTTTTAGCCCAAAAAATAATAATAATTTTATTATAACCAATTTTGCAACAAAATAAAAGGAAAAAAATTGGAACTCCAGAGGAAGGAAGGAAGAGTGAGAGATGGGTATGGCGAGGAAGATAAGCAAAGAGGAAGTTGTAGAGAAGCTTAAGGACGACGGAGATTTTGATCGCCTTCGTCTTAAAATCATACGCCGCCTCAAAGATAACGTAAACCCTCTTTCTCTTTCTCCGTTGTCTTCTCATTGCATCGTGTGTTCTTCTTTCCTTGATCCTCTAATTAGGGTTTAATAGTCTCTCGATTCCCAGTACATTCGTGGCTTTAGGAGCAGTGATAATGATTCAGTCGATTTTGATTGTTTCAAAACATCAAATTGGAATCTTTAGTTAGTTTGACTTTGAGTAATAGCGAATTCGATTGAGAATTAGTCAAACTTTTTGAATGTTTGTTGCAAAGTTTGCTCTTTTGGTTCATATAGACTGAGCCCAATCAGTCCTTAATTTGTGGTTTTAGGTACTTTACTCGGCAGCTACTCGGATCTCAATCGGAAAATTCCATCTTTTGTTTCGTTTTTACTGTTTGTGTTGTTGTCACAGAGTGATATGGTAAGTAGTTGTAAGCAAAGATAAGTCTGTGCTTGGTCTCAGGGAAAATTTATGTTAATGTGTGATTCCTAACAATACCAGTCGTTTAAGATAGGGAAAGTTTGGTCATTGATCTTGATTTTGGGATAAGTGTAAGTAAACCATTGATGATTTGGAGAGCTTACCAAACTGCCTTAAGTTTTTCTTAGCTGAATCAGATCCTAGAGGAGAGAGTTCTCTTAATGGTGTTAGTCTGTTAGATCACAGCTATAGCTGATTCAGAGTTTCAGTATTACTTATTGTGAATTGGTTAGTCAGGTTACTTATAGCTGATATATTGTTCATTGTCTTTGAGGAGTCTTTATACTTAGCCATCCAGTGAGTATTGTCATTTCCGCAACTTGGTAGAATTTTTAGATAAGAGTGAAGTTGACTTCTCAGCCGGAGAAGTTAATGTGAGGCAACGAGGACTGTTCTTTTAACAGTGTTTGATAACCATATAAAGCTTTGTTCTTCTGGACTGCCTGTGTTTGCCATTGTGTTCTGACTATTAAAGTGGGTCACTGGATTGCAGGAGGAATTACGGAACAACATGATAGCAATTGTCAAGGAGTCAACAGCTTTGAAACGACAGGGTGCTCAAAATATGAAAACCAGGCAACTTTCTGATGCGATATTCGAAGAAGTCGGGTAAGTTAAGAAAGAGTTTTCCCTCTATTCACAGACCCACTCTTGTTGTTGTAACTGGCTATGGCACAACCGTTGCTGAAATTTTTGGTTTTTTGCCTGTAGGAGCAAGATGCTAAGCCAGCTCTCAGATGGATTGTGGGGGATAATAAGATCAGAGGACGGGATGAAGAATGAAATCAGAGAAACCGTGCAATCCGTCTACGCCACATTATCTAACCCGGGAGGCGAGAAATGTGGAACATCTGCTAGAAAAGTGGAACATAAGATCCCAACACCATTCCCAGAAACAAGAGCTGATTCCAAAACCAGTCCAGCGAGTAAACAGAAGCAAGAGCTGGTTCAAAGAGTTGTAGAAGATAACAAAGGAGAAGCATGTAGTGATGATAATGAAGAAGATCCTGAACTCCCTCCTGGTTTTGGCTAAAAATGTTTTTGATGTATCAATAAAACTCCCTGAAACATTTAATTGCGTTTAAGGTAATAACACTAACTGTTTGTAATAACAACAATTACTCTACTTCACAAGTTAGGTGTTTAAAAACGTTAATTATTTACATTAACCGATTTATTTTGAAAGGTCGGAAATAAAAAGCCGCAAAAGTTGAAGAAGCAAGAAAATGGCATCAATTCTCAGGTCAGTGGCAACGACTTCAGCCGTCGTAGCCGCTGCGTCTGCGATTCCCATCGCAATCGCCTTCTCTTCTTCTTCTTCCTTTACCAACCCCAAATCTCAATCTCTCAATTTCTCCTTCCTCTCCCGATCATCTCCACGTCGCTTGGGACTTACACGAAGCTTCGCTAGCACTCCGATGACGACCGTTCTCACTTCTGATCGTAATCTCCCTCAGGTTTTGGTTTAAAGCTTTAAACTTTTGAGTTACCCTTAGCTTTTTCGCTTTCCTAATTAGATGATTTAGTCTTTAAGTAGCTGAATTTGGTTTGCAGGAGGATCGTGTCATGCCTCAGCTCCTTGTAAGTCTTTCTCTTTTCTATTTGGATTTTGTAATCTTACATCTTGATCGATTTATACAACTATTTTGGATTTGAGCTACTGAGAACTTATGTTGTGTGTTCCAGACTGAGTTTATGGTTGATATGAAATGTGAGGGTTGTGTTAATGCCGTGAAGAACAAATTAGAAACCATTGAAGGTACTAGGAGAGCTTTATTTTGTGTTCTGTTTGGTTATCATTTACTCTTGTTGTTGCTTTATCATGTGTAATTGGAATTTGATCTTGTAAGGGATTGAAAACGTGGAGGTGGATTTGTCCAACCAAGTTGTGAGGATACTTGGATCTTCCCCTGTTAAGGCTATGACCCAAGCTTTGGAGCAAACCGGTCGAAAGGCTCGATTAATTGGGCAAGGTGTTCCTCAAGGTTAGATATCTCTTCTGCTTTGGTTTTGATAGTTAAAAGAAAGAAGATTCATAGAACATGTAGGAGCAGTCGGATTGGGTTTATGTGAGGTTTAATTCTCAAATTCAACAAATTTTTGACCTTTGAATCACTCTTTGATACACTGCCTTTACTTTGTCCAATTCTGATTCATTAGACAGTATCGAATTGGGGGATATACTAACTCAATTTCATCAATAAGCTCTTTTCTCATTCATTACTTTTACAGTTTACTTTGTTACGTGTTGGCAGATTTCTTAGTCTCAGCTGCAGTAGCGGAATTCAAAGGCCCTGACATATTCGGGGTGGTCAGATTTGCTCAGGTCAGTATGGAACTTGCAAGAATCGAAGCCAACTTCACCGGTTTGTCACCCGGAATCCACAGCTGGTGTATTAACGAGTATGGAGATCTCACAAACGGAGCAGCCAGCACAGGGAACTTGTACAATCCATTGCAAGATAATACCAACACAGAGGTCGGTCAAACTCACTCTAAAAACACGAAGATATCATCATAATCCTCAAAAAAACTCAGAACCATTTCGGTTTTCCTTTTTTCTTATGTCAGCCATTGGGAGACCTGGGAACACTAGAGGCAGACAAAAACGGAGAGGCCTTTTATACGGGAAAGAAAGAGAAACTCAAGGTTGCGGATCTTATCGGGCGAGCCGTCGTGGTGTACAACACCGCGGATAATAAGTCAGGCCCCGGATTGACCGCTGCTGTGATAGCTAGAAGCGCAGGAGTTGGAGAAAACTACAAGAAGCTTTGTTCTTGTGATGGTACTGTCATATGGGAAGCAACAAACAGCGATTTCGTGACCAGTAAGGTATAATAACAAAACAATCATAAATTTAATAAAACGTTACGCTTTGTAGCCATTGTGAACTTGCTTTGTATCAAAACTCGAGGTTTGTATTGAAACAACACAAGCTTTTTGTATTGTACCATAACTCTGTGTAGTGTCAATTGTGTAACAAATGTTGAGCTTCCATTTAGAATTTGATCAGAGTATATAGTGAATTTGAGAAGAGTATATATAGTGTGTGCATCGGAGTATATATAGTGTGTGCATCGGGCTATTATCAAAAGGTTTCGTGGTGTAGTTGGTTATCACGTCAGTCTAACACACTGAAGGTCTCCGGTTCGAACCCGGGCGAAGCCATTTGATTAGTATATGCTTTTGGTAATATATTGACCAAATGTTTTAGATAATGTTTCGTTGTCAGGGCCCTATCAGCAACTAGCTTTAGTTCCACTGTTTTTGGCCCACTAAAATTGGGTCGCACATGGAAACAAATGGTTCCTACAATAGTCTCCCCTACATAATCTATTCTGGTAAACGTAACAAGTTTTTAAATCATATAGAATTTTGAATTCCAAGAACATGTAAAATTTGATGTGCTGCTATAAACTACTCTTAAATAATAAAATCTCACATTGTCAGAGATGAATTATTATATACTAGGTTTTTTGTTCTTACATAAAAAATTGATTGCTTTGTTGTACTAAAATTTAATAGTAATGTTTAGTCAGAAACATCAAACTTTAAACATTTTTGTATAATTTCTGTGGTTTTTATTACTGAGTCAATACATACTTTTTTGGATATGAAGGTCCACACACACTTATTTATTTAGTCTAACTACTACATAACTAAAAGGATTAGCTAGTTAGATTTGATATCATAAGTATATATACGTAGACATCCATCCATCATTCTAAAGTTTTCTAACTAAGTGTCGTGCTGCAATCATTTATCATCATTCATTGGATTTTGTCTCAAGGCAATTTACAAAAGGGGACATTTCATTATTTAGGGAATGCAAAGAGACGGACAAAGTTTGCTGGTCCTTCTAAGTTAAGATAGCTCTTACCTATCACACACACTCGTATTTAAGTATTATATACCTTGGTTATTTATGTCTACATATCAATTGTTGATATATATAGTAGATGTGTGTATTTTGAGATCTCATCTACACATAAAACATTTACATGCCATAATAAAATGGGTATGGACCAATTTGATATCGACAAGAGGGTTTTATTGATAGATGCACGTCTTAAAATTGGACATATAACTTCAGATCATATCGTAAACAACCAAAAAAAATAAATTAAAAAATGATGATTTATGTGTTGCATCTTTCATATTTGGATTCCTTTTCAGTGTGGGACAATTTTTTTTTTTTTTTGTCAACGAACAGTTTCTCTTTTTGTAATTCATTAATATGGCTCTAGTCAAATTTATTCTCCACCATGTTATTTTGTTTTCCTTTCGCATGAAGGATATATTCGTCGAATTCACAAAAGTCACCTTACAAAATTATTACTATTAGTCTATTACCTTAGATATTACTTATTAGCAATCACATGCATGATCAGTGGGCAAAATGTCAAGTAATGAATGTGTAAATAACAATTTAATCTATAGAATGCGATAAAGAAAATATTTTTGCAGAAAGTAGCATTTAATTTTGCGAAGAATATTGCATCCTATTGGCCAAGTCCCCTTTTCTGGAATAATATATATCCCTTTTATAATCTATTTTGTTACCATAATTGGTATTGAACTTTTAATGACTAACTAGTAATTAGATAAACTAGAAGAAATCTTGTGCACATGACATGACAAATCTATTAATACTATACTATACATACATATTTAGATCACAGAGTTAGTCATTTCCATGATAAACACAATGCGTGATTAATGCTGATGCAAAAGAGAAAATCGCGTAATTTACTTCACAGATCTGATTAGATTTTGGTATTTGTGACAACCTTTATTAAAATGTACTCCCTCCGTTCCTTGAAGTTTGATGTTTTAGTGTTTTGAGTTTGTTCCACAAAGATTGATTTTCTAGATTTTTTTTTATTTTTAATTAATTGATTTTAGTAAATCGTAGATTTCAAGGCGTAATGAATGATTAACTGTTTCAGATTACTATTGGTTCATAGTTTATTAAAAAATATTTAATAAAAGTAAATAATTAAATAATGATTATTTCTTAAGAAATGTGAAATCTCTAGAAAATCAATTTTCTAGAAACAGAGGGAGTACTACGCTCTATAGTCAAACATAAATAGTTTCAAATGCATCTTTAAAATCTAAACATACATAATCAACCCCAAAAAAGAGTCTAGATCCTAGTCAATACCGACGCATTTGTTTTGATGTGACCAATTAACCATATAGAAATGTGGCTTATCCATCTTTGTTAGTTTAGACTTTTATAATTTTGGTGTGTTCTAGAATGTATATGTTAATCAGGCTAGTGTATTTTCAACAATAAATAATTGCTAATATTGTATTAAGATTTAAGAGACAATTATTTAAAAACAAAACTTGAAAAGAGAGGCTAAATAATTAGTGAGTGGGGTTATAAAATAACTCCACTAATTAGGCTGCGTCATACAGGATTATTGCTTCCGTCGGATCTCAAATGTGGACCTACTACCGACACTTCTGACTCATGCTTCGTCTCCGAACACAAGACTTCGAATCTTAAAATTAATTTTCTTAGATTTGTCTTTTTATTTATTTTTCTTTTATTTTAAACAAAACAATTCCCTCCAACTATAAGATCCAACGGCTAATATCACTCTAAACCTTTACAACTAAATCTAAATCTCCACCGTCCGCTTCATCATCTTCCTTCTTCTTCTTCTTTCCCTCACTCTCAGATCTCAAACCTCACCAAAAAAGATAAAACTCACACTTTCTCTCTCTCTCTCTCTCTAGAAAAAGAAAGAGTGAAGAAAAACTTATTATTATTCCCATTTTACCCCTAACTGAAAAATGGTTGAAGCTCAATCATGGACAACACGGCGGATGAGCAATCCTAGATTCGACGCCGCCACACCAACCATTGTAGACATCCCCGGAACACCTCCACACTCCTCCGCTTCTTCACCCCTCAAACCCTTCTTCCTCTCTTTCCCTACCGTATCTCCAACAATCCTCACGGCGGCGATAATCGCCGCCTGGTTTGGCTCAAACATAGGGGTCCTCCTCTTAAACAAATACCTTCTCTTCTACTACGGTTTCCGTTACCCAATCTTCCTCACCATGACACACATGTTATCCTGCGCCGCTTATAGCTCCGCCGTAATCAACGTCGCCGGAATCGTGCCACGTCAGCACATCTTATCTCGCCGTCAGTTTCTAAAGATCCTCTCTTTATCAGCGATCTTTTGTCTCTCCGTCGTCTGCGGCAACACTTCGCTACGTTATATCCCTGTTTCTTTTAATCAAGCTATTGGAGCCACCACGCCGTTCTTCACCGCCGTGTTCTCTTTTCTCATCACCTGTAAAACAGAGTCCACTGAAGTTTACTTAGCTCTTCTTCCGGTTGTCTCCGGCATCGTTCTTGCTTCTAATTCTGAACCTTCTTTTCATCTTTTTGGTTTCCTCATCTGTGTCGCTTCCACCGCCGGTAGAGCTCTCAAATCCGTCGTCCAGGTATAAATCGGTTTGGTTTCTTCAAATTTCCGGTTTAGTACCAATAGAATCCGAAATTGTGTTCGAATTTCGATTTTATTACAAAACATCTCTCTTAAATATGTCCGAATTCAGTTTAATTATAACAAATCTGAAGAAATTTAGACCGGTTTATTCTTAGAACTGAATTGAGTCCGGTTTGGTTCAGTCTCTGTCTGAGTTTCAATCTATAGCATTTAAACAGGTTATTCACATTTCAATCGATCGGTATGATCGAATTGCGTCTGAGTCTAGATTGGATCTCACTTTAATCCGGAGGAGTTGTTGTTTGAATCCGGTTTTTTATTGGTTTCGTTGAACCGGATTTTGTAGGGTATAATTCTGACGTCGGAATCGGAGAAGCTACATTCGATGAATCTTTTGCTCTACATGGCTCCAATGGCGGCTTGTATCTTACTACCATTTACGTTATACATTGAAGGAAATGTATTAAGAGTTTTAATCGAAAAGGCGAGGACGGATCCATTGATCATCTTCTTGCTAGCCGGGAATGCGACAGTGGCATATTTAGTGAATTTGACGAATTTCTTGGTGACAAAGCATACAAGTGCTCTCACATTGCAGGTTTTGGGGAACGGAAAAGCCGCGGTGGCTGCCGGAGTTTCGGTTCTTATATTTAGGAATCCGGTGACGGTGATGGGAATTGCCGGATTCGGTGTGACGATTATGGGTGTGGTTCTCTATAGCGAAGCTAGGAAGAGATCCAAATTGCTTAACCAGAAGTGAAAAGTGAGCGAAAGAAAGATAATTGGATTTAAACCGGTGAAGTAATTTTAAATTTTTACTTTTTATTTTTTCGGTTTAGTTTCTTGATTCTTTGGAACTCTGCTATTGTTTTGAACCGGTTTGGTTCGTTTGAGAGGGGGCAAATCAATTTAATTGTAAATGGTTGAGATTGGGGAAAAACTATGAAATGAAAAAAAAAAAGTGGGGATATATATTTATGTAACAAAAGTGAAAAAGTAGGGAGCATATTAAAGGAAATAAGATTGTATCTTTATTTTATTTTCCATACTTTTAATTGTTTTTTCTTTTTCTTTCTTGTACTGTTATCTTTTATAGTTTGTCTTACCAAATTTATCGAAACATAGTGTGGGAAAAAGTTAAAAATAATCAATTTCTTTCCACTCCTGGATTTGAGTGTTTTTCTGTTAGGCAAAATCGCATTTTCATCTGGTGGGTTAAATTTACACATTCTTTCTTCTTGTTTTTTGTTTTCCTAGCAACTTGCAGCTTGCTCTTCTCTTTTTTGTCAACTTTCTCATTATTTCACTTGTAATATATTGTTCTGGATCTTGTATTCTTATAATGATTTGGAATTATTATTTTGATCTAAAACCCATTGAGTCTAGCATAAGATATTGTTCTTTGTTACAAAACAAAAGTGTTAGGCATACACACATTTTTAATTGTTTACTATAATTGAGTAATCAAGCTATAATCACCTGAACCAACCTAACATCCAAAATTTAAGCAGTATTAAATGGGTTTGATAAGATGATGATGTTTTAGCTAATGTAGGTTAAGTTTATCATTAGACTTACTTGTCAAGGTTTTTGTTCCAATTTAGCTAGTTAACCTTTTAAGGTGGTAACACTTACATGCTTCATTTGATATATGTACACCAATCTAAGTTGTTGTGGTCTCATTCTCATAATTGTATATATATAAAAATAAATCTAACGTGTTGGTTGGAAAACCAAATTTTCTTCAAGAATTTATAATTAAATTTGTTTGTCTGAAAAAGGTGTTAAAATAAAATAAGAGGAGAAAGATAATGACAGCTTATGTGAGTTTGTCTTTTGGTCCAATACATACGAGCCTATTAGTTGATTTATTATCAGTTTATCACTTTTGTATTATTTTGTTTCTCACTAATTCAATATAACAAAAGTGAAAAAGTAGGGAGCTTAATTAAGGAAATAAGATTGTATCTTTTTTTTTTCTTGTAATGTTTTTATAGTTTGTCTTGCACCATTGCATTGACAATAATCAGATTTATGAAATAGAGATTGAAAGTAACATGATATGATTCGGTTTCGGGATCACGTAACATCAGTGTTCGACTTCGCTTACGACAGTAAAACAACAACTTCTTCTTCTTCTTCTTCCCATCAAAAAGTGCTAGTGGCATGACCGCAGCTATGTGATTACCAAACCAATAAGAAGTTACATCCAGATTAATGGAACACATTTTGTGCCATGTCTTGTTGCCTGAATTGAATGACCATATCAGCCAGTTCATCTTGGAAACGCAGAAGCGGTTGTCGAGATTGCACATGACAATGATCAAAAGCGTTTACATTTGTAAAGGGAGCTTTAGAGACCACTTGAAACGTTTCGGTGTGCAGATCGAACGATAGAATTTTGGTTTCCTCGCAGTCATTGAACCAATGAAGCGACCCATCTATACAAATAGGTTTGGAGTTACCAAAAACCCGATAGGGAGCGGCTGGAGAAACATACCTCCAAGCGTCGGTGTTAAAGTCGAAAACCTCGCATGTAGTTAAAGTCGAAAACCTCGCGTTTTCAAGGCCAATTTCTAAAGAACTGTATAACCAAACGGGCTTGTATGTGCCCGTGATTTTGTCTTTACCGAATCCAATATCAAGCTCGTCGAAATTGGCAGAGAGGAAGAGGGCGGTACCATCTAGTGAGACCCACCACTATATCTGCCTACGTATTACGTATATATATATACACATTAGATTTTGGTCTTAATAATATTATATTTTTCTTTTGAGCCTGGTTTCTTGTTGTTGCTTCCAAGTTCCAATAATGTTGAAACAAAGCCATGAACGCTAAATAAGAATCAACTTTGCAACTCTAGGAGATTCATGCGATGCAATTTTCAAGTCACGTGGACTATTGTATGTGACGAATAAATTTTGACTTCTAAACCACTGTGAAGAATTGGTCTGATCTTATTGGCTTCACACATTTTTGTACCAGGTGCTCAGATGCATATTCAGACACAAACTCAAAGGCTCTTAAGCTTAAGGTATGACGAATTGACGATCAGTAGCTTCTTTCTCCCATCATTTTTCTTCATGATAATCTCATGGGCTTATGTGAGTTTGTATGACTAAAAATACCAAAATTTTCTTCAACAAGTTGTGAAGAAAATGACAGCTTATGTGAGTTTGTCTTTTGGCCCTATGACTCTTAACCCATGCGAGGCTATAGTTGATTTATTATATCACTTTTGTATTATTTTGTGTTCATTGATTCAAAGTGTTTTGTTTGGATAAAGGGAAAAGTAAAGCATTTTGGGACCAAATTCATGGAAATATCTCTTAGAAAGAAGAAGAACATATGCCATTCTTACTTCTTCACATATGTTTGGTTGCTCCAATCTTTCGACCCCTTTTTCCAAAATGTTATAATATATATATATATATATATATATATATATATATATATATAGTTGATATATTAGTGTATCGTAATCAATTATACCCATTACTATTGAATCATATATGTAGTCTACTTGTTTGTAAATGTGTCACCCTCATATCATAATTCGAATTTTATCCCAAAATGTGTGTGCGAGTTGTAGACACACATGTAGATGACGTTACATAATTGTGTGTGTGTATAATATGTTAGATTTTTACTAGTGTTGCAGGGTAAATAAATTAGATCCGACCTGAATGTCACGTGAAAGGTAAAAAATATATTATAATTTCAAAGTTGATAATGAATGTAGACAGAAGAGCAAATTGCATTTTGACTTTGGTCTGCAGAATTGCAGTTGAATCTCGTGACTAATGGAACGGCCTATTTTTTTTTTCTTTCTGTCATCGTCTCTCACCTTTTCCAAGTAGTTTGGATCGAAACACTTTCACGAGAAACCTAAGAAACTTTCCAGGAAAGTATTGGTTCACATAAACATTAAATCACACCTTTCACAAAGCTCTCTCGTGATTTCTTCTCCTTAACCACATACTTTGCTTTTTAAACTTAGTCCATTGCATCTTTCTTCTATATACATTAAGTCATCAACATGTTTCCTCTTCATACGATAGAAAAAAATATATCTTCTCGTGTGTTTCAAGTATCATATTGCTCTGATCAATGGAGAGGAAACAATCAAATGCTCATTCCACTTTCGCCGACATCAATGAAGTTGAAGAAGAAGCAGATCAAGAACCTCAACAGCAAGAGAACAACAACAAGAGATTCTCTGGAAACAGAGGACCAAACCGAGGGAAACAAAGACCATTCAGAGGTTTCAGCAGACAAGTTTCGCTGGAGACAGGTTTCTCAGTGCTTAACAGAGAATCTAGAGAAAGAGATGACAAGAAGAGTTTACCGAGGAGTGGTCGTAGCTTTGGCGGGTTTGAATCAGGCGGAATCATCAACGGTGGAGATGGTCGGAAAGGAGATTTCAGTATGTTTAGGACGAAATCTACGCTGAGCAAACAAAAATCTCTATTGCCTTCTATAATAAGGGAGAGAGACATTGAGAATTCTTTAAGAACTGAAGATGGTGAGACCAAGGATGATTCTATAAATGAAAATGTTTCTGCAGGAAGATACTTTGCTGCTCTTAGAGGACCCGAATTGGATGAAGTCAAGGTAACAACTAACAACCCTTTTTCTTTCTGTTTCTCTCTTCAAAGCTTAATTAGTTAGGTCCAATTGTATTCTCTTGTAGGACAATGAAGATATTCTGCTTCCAAAAGAGGAGCAATGGCCGTTTCTTCTAAGGTTCCCGATTGGATGCTTCGGTATCTGTTTAGGACTTAGCAGTCAAGCTGTTTTGTGGCTTGCCCTAGCGAAAAGTCCTGCTACAAACTTCTTACACATCACACCATTGATTAACTTAGTTGTATGGCTATTTTCACTGGTAGTTTTAGTCTCTGTCTCCTTCACTTACATACTCAAATGCATCTTCTACTTTGAAGCTGTCAAAAGAGAGTATTTTCATCCTGTTCGAGTCAACTTCTTCTTCGCTCCTTGGGTGGTTTGCATGTTCCTAGCCATCAGCGTACCTCCCGTGTTCTCACCAAAATACCTCCATCCCGCCATTTGGTGTGTTTTCATGGGTCCTTATTTCTTCCTCGAGCTAAAGATCTACGGGCAATGGCTTTCGGGAGGGAAGAGGCGACTATGCAAAGTCGCAAACCCGTCTTCTCATCTTTCTGTTGTAGGGAATTTCGTCGGGGCCATCTTAGCTTCAAAAGTTGGATGGAATGAAGTAGCTAAGTTTCTATGGGCAGTAGGTTTTGCACATTACTTGGTTGTGTTTGTAACACTTTATCAGAGACTTCCCACCAGTGAAGCTCTGCCTAAAGAGCTTCATCCTGTTTACTCTATGTTCATAGCTGCCCCATCAGCAGCAAGTATTGCTTGGAACACGATATATGGCCACTTCGACGGATGTTCAAGAACTTGCTTCTTTATTGCACTCTTCCTATACATTTCCCTAGTTGTGCGGATCAATTTCTTCACTGGATTTAAGTAAGTCCATCTCGTGTTTAAATATTTTCTCGGTTGATAATATGTTGATGCAACTAAGTATCTAAAGGGTTGTGCAGGTTCTCAGTGGCGTGGTGGTCATATACTTTTCCTATGACAACAGCATCAGTAGCAACAATAAAGTATGCAGAGGCAGTACCCGGTTACCCGAGCCGAGCTCTAGCCCTCACTCTTTCCTTCATTTCTACAGTGATGGTCTGCGTTTTGTTTGTCTCCACGCTTCTCCACGCATTTGTCTGGCAAACTTTGTTCCCAAACGATCTTGCAATTGCCATTACAAAGAAGAAACTTACCAGGGAGAAGAAACCTTTTAAAAGAGCTTATGACTTGAAGCGCTGGACCAAGCAGGCTCTGGCGAAGAAAATATCTGCAGAAAAAGATTTTGAAGCCGAGGAAGAATCGCGTCACTGATGTAAAATCATGGAATACAGAAGTATCTTTCAGATGGAAATAATAGTCAAGAAAACATTTTAGATATAGACACAAGTAGGTGAGCAGCTTGTTGTATGTATCTCCAGAAGCATGTTTAATAATAATATTACATCAATACTACAGCACTCAAAATCCCATTCACACTCCAAAGCTAAGCTGAATAAGAGATCACACAAAAAGGAAATCACAGTGTGACATGAATCAAACAGGCAAAGAAATGGTCCTCTGGTTTGCTAAGTTGGTCTGTGCTGGTCGGAGGTCCCATGAAGTAGAATGCTGTGAATCCTCAGGTTTAATAAAAGGCAGAGTGATCTCATTGATCATTAATTCTCCACAGAATGGGCATTCGCTGGCAATAGCATCATCTAGCTCTGATCGAAGCTGCCTCACAATAAGGAAAATATGTCAAGCCATAGAAAATATTAATAGAAGACTTAAAAAAAGTAAAGAAAAATGAAACAAATGTCCTTACCTTGTCTGCAGTAGTTGTGCTAGTTATGGGTTCATCAGATCGATTACCATTTATATCCCTCCGGGTTTCGCTACCAAGCAATGTGAGCTGCTTCTGCAGATCGAGTATGTGCTCGGCCTAGACAGATATTTGGAAAACCAATCCAAAAATGGAATCACAATTTCAACATGGAAAAATAAAGCCCGAAATTTATGTATTTACTGCAAGTAGAAATGAGAACTAAGCTGCCGGCAAGGTAAATTTTACCTATGGTAACTCAAGAACGAACTAAATATTGCCCAAATTTGCAGTATCTAATATGCAGAAGGAAATAAGAGGGAACTCATAACAAGAACTCATGGTTCAAGACTTACTTGTTCTTCATGTGCACAGCTTGTGACGTGTGTGATCAGGCACTGTGCATGGAAAGAGTGCCCACAAGGAAAGACATAAAAAGGAGCCAATGGTCCCGCTGAAGAATATCCCTGGGCCATTCTGAAATCCCCGGCCATCATCAAGATTTTACGTTTACAAACCTGGTAACACATTGAAAAGGAACAGGTGTGCTGGTGATTTTGGTGCTTTGGAAAACACAATTCATATCTATATATAGGTAGACACGAGATAAAGGCTAGTCAATCTTAGGATGATCATACCCCGCATTCCTCGTCGCGGTCAATTACAGCATATCTTTGAGTTAGCGCACTAATATCATTTCTAATGTTATCTGCACCACGTGTGGCATCATTCATCTCCTCTTTCAATTGTTCTATTTGCTTGTTGTAATCCTCGAGAGATGAGCAAATCGCTTCCTGAAAAAGCGTATTGAAGAAAATTACAAGAGAGCAGGAGCAACTTGTTTGTCCCAAGACATGTGTGTCTGCAAAAGAGGAAACGTTGACTAACCTTGAAGTCATCAATTAAGGCAAAGTCCGGAAAGAAAGGCAAAATATCTTCAATCTTTAGAAGGCCATCAGTTTCCTTGAGAAAGGCAATAGCTTTCCTTATGTTTTCCCTTTTAGCTCCCTTTTCCTGCTTGACAACATGCTTTGCAACCATCAGCCACAGCTTCTTTCTTAAGTCTTCATCATCTTCAACCTTATCAGCCTCAGCCATAGCAAGTTCTGGATCAATCTGTAAAACAGAAACCGTTTTCAAACACTACCAGAAGAAAGTTCAGACTAAAATGGTTAACCAAACTTTCTGCACATTAGCATAATAAAATATGGTTTTCAGTAAAATATTTGTTTCAAAATACGTTTTCAGTTACAGATCGCGCGTAGGAGAAGGAAGTGAAAAATACTTTACTTTTGGTATTAAAATGGATTTATTACCTGAAGAGCAAGGGCTACTGCCTCTTCATGCATAGACATCATGCTGTATATATGGACACAGGCACGGGTTCTCTTTTCCTTGAGACATAGGCGCAACGCATATTTGGGATCGTAGAAAAATTCGGGACCGTTCTCCCGTCCTTTCCCAAATTTGCATTGCAGAAAACGGAGGAGGGCACTGTCATCTTCCTAATTATATATATAAAAAGAACCATTATGTATCACTTTAGAAACCTCTTGTCACAGAATCACATGCCTCTTAAGTTTTAAGGAATCAAAAGCAACCATACCTGCTTGGCATATAATGAGAGAAGCAGATTGTGAATCCCTGGATCCTCGGTATGCAGACGGTGGACGCAAAACTCAAGATATTTGATGACTTCATGTGTCTCGTTCCTGAAATTTAATTTGGAGGAGTTACTGGCGAGATTGGTAACACAACGTGAATGGACATATAGTTAAGATGTGGGACATTACTTTGCATGAGGTTCGCTAGAGTAACGCATCATTGCAGTAATTAATCTCCTTGGATTAAGATTTTTGTTGGCCATCCATGCTTCCACGGTTTCATATGCGTCAAGCATAATAAGTTCTGGAGCAAATTTATACTGAAATGTGCAAAATATATTATAGTTTCAAGACAAAACAAAGATTGGAGGACGACATAATTTCAGAAGATCCCAGTGCTAATTTTTACACACCTGAAGTTCAACTGAAACTGAAGATTTTTGGAGCACTTCCAATGCTTTCTTTGCTTCACCTTGCTAATAGATAAATACAAAACTTATAATGTAAACTAAACAAGTCTGACTAAGATATTGTTATCTATATGGATTAATCGAGAAAAGAAAAACTTATCATGCCATTCACCTGAATATAATGGTGAACTACAATTTCATACTGCTCCTTCAAGTTTGCAAAATATACCAATTCCTCAACCCGACCATAACTACAAGAGAAGAAAAAAAGAGATAATAAGAAGAAAGAGTTTAATACCCGCAAGCAAGGTATCCTATGAGATGTTCTGAAAACAGTGTTTAAGAGAACAAATTATCCCAGAAAATAATACACATCATCATGAAGGTCTCACTGGCTTAAAGATAGAATTTAATGGATCGCCTGCGATACTTGTGGAATTTACCTTTCCAGAAGTTTCATTGTGGTTGCCTCATCCAATACATCCTTGCAATCGCTCATGAAAGCACGGAATTCTTGAATGACTGAGTGATACTCCGAGTCGCGATTTTCTATAGCAGTGTCATCTTCCAAAAGCAGCCGATTTATCTATATTCGCATTCCAGGAATATGAGACAAAGTAACAAGATACAAAAACTCAGAAAGCAAACCGGTGACGAAATCAATAAGAGGAATTAAGGGAATAATAGATGTTTTCCAAATATATTTTTAATGAGAAGTGAGACCAGAGACAACAATAGCTAAACCTTGTCCAGATACAGCTCAGTTGCCCATGTTGATATCATCGTAATTTGGCATTTATCCTCCTTTGAAAGATTATCAAGCTTATGCAACAAGAATGTTCTTAAAGCTTCCTGCAATCACATAAGGAACAAAAGGCAGTGAATATTCAAGCCCACAAATGAAACACATTTTTCTCTCCTGAACAGCACGCACTGGATTAGAGATTTCTTTATGTTATAAAAATAAAACTAGCAAAGAGACAAACGTAAATGCTTACTGGTTCGTTTATACTAATAAACTTCAAAGTGACCTCCTCAAAAGATATTACATAATTGACCTGCAAAGAAAACATTGTACCACGTCAATGATGCATTACATCACGAAAGAACAAAGTAAAACAGAGGAATCAGAAATTACTTTCGCGTAGAATGATGCTGCTCGCAGATATTCCTTATTGGTGAATGCAGCTTCTGCCTACAAAAGAAGGTGCCCAATCCACACATAATCAAAACCAGAGAGATTATTCCTGCCAAGTGTCTATAGGCAGGCGACAGCAATATAACACATGTGGCTCAAAACCAATGCCTATTAACTTAACTGACTAAGTCAAGGGGATCACCTGAACTAAATAAACTTGGTCTCTCTGGAGAGGGTCACGACAGTTTGCTAAAGCTGCAGCATAGACTTTCAAGTCCAGGTAAACCTTCCACATATCTCGGCCTTCGTCAATCACAGAAACCTAGAGAATATATCAAAATCCCAAAATGAGAAGTGAAAGCAGAATTTATTAGAGAAATTTACTACGGAAGTTTTACAATCATCATAAATGAGTAAGCCAAAACACACCTGGAATATCGAATTTTGATCATATGCATAGAAAACGCCAGCAGAGGCATCACTGCAAAGTCCAATTATGCCCCTCACAACTGAATCTGACGTTATATCAAACTGGAGCTCTTCAATGATTTGTTCACTTATGCGATTCACAACCTACCCCACAATTTAGGAATGCAGAAACCATAAAGTAAGCATACTTATGAAACGAAACACTTATATGCAGCCAAATCAAATGATACGAGCCATAGGTTTCGACTTCGATCTCAGAGCCGTTGTTAACGTAAGAGAGAGAGAGAGAGATTTAAGCAAAGTTTCCTTTTAACCAAAGTCTCTCTTAGAGAATTAGGTTAATTGTTAGAAGTTCTGTTTTCATTAGCATAAAGACCTTTAGTTATTGATATACATACGCCAAGATTATAACTTAAAGCATAACCCTAACGTAAAAAGGAAAACACCCAAAACCTAATGCTAAAAGGAAAACACCCAAAAACCAAATACTAAAAGGAAAAAAACCAAATATAAAAAACCAATCACGTTTTTGTTGATTTCACACGGTTCTGAGTGATATTGTAATTCCGTATCATCAAACTAAAATACATGCACGAGGAATGTATAAACCTCATGTTTCCACACATACCTTAACCTTATTCCCAATAAGAAGCAAGAAATGATATTCAGAGAGTGCCATCGAACCAGGCTTGACTGCTTCAGTGCCATCACTCAGTTTTGAGTAGTCCAAGAGTGCTTTGTTCTCCACAAAGTTCTCATCACCATTTGGATAACTACCAACAAGTTTCAATTAAATTACAGAACGAAATTACCAAAAAATATGAAAAGTGAGCAACAAATAGAAAGATCCAAATAATTATTTCAGAGAGACACTAGTACTGTCATTATACCTGTGCTGAGCTCCAAAATTTAGGCCACCATGATAAATTCCTGTCCCTGAAAGCCATGCAAAATGCACCGCTCTTCGTTGCTTTATATAGAAATGTAGCTCACTGAAAGACGATAAACATTATATGTGCAGAGAGCAGAGTTACACATTGTGATTTCCTTCATACGCAAAATGAGCCCAAGGTAATCAAACACTTGCCTGTTTGGTATTTCACCAGGAAGTTCCATAAAATGGACTGCACGTTCTTTATAACTAGCAAAAACAGACTGGAGTAAACACTTAGTAGTTAGAAATTGAATACAAGAAAAGCTAATCCACATTTTCCAAAGATCATAGATTTGATGTAAGTAAGATCTAAACAATAAGACGTGGATCTAATTTTTCGATGCGATATTTGAAAGGAGGAACAAGCATGTTTGACATTTGAAGCCCAACCATTAGCGACTAAATTGGATGCTGTTCAATGATATAATGTGACCTTCCACTTAATCTCCTAATGCTAGCATTTCATTTCAAATGTACAGAAATCATTACATAACAGAACAGAGTTTAGCTTACTTCTAATGTTCCAATCCCTGTAAACGAGTAGAGTCGAGTAGGTGTTACAGCCATCACATAGTACCTCATCCCACTGCTTATGTTGGCCGTTTCCATCTACACATTTGTTTCAATAAAAGACAGTGATTGGAATAATAAACCAATGGAGGAAACATATAATCTCAACTCGGAATAAAATGTTAGTACCTGCAAAGCCTTGAAGGCTTCGGGAAGTTCATCTAGTTCAAACAAAAACTTGATGTACTTCTCTCTCTTGTCCTTCTCATCCACGGCCATCTCAAACAGCTGCCCATCCTGAGTGCCCACAATGATCTCCTTAGTAGAAACTGAATTCAGGGAAAGACAGAAGAACATCAATATTGATCCATGCGAGAAGAACAAGACTCATCATATCACACCAAAAGCATAACCTTCTGTTATCTGTTGTCTATTCCAAGCCACAGCGTTAACCACCAAACCTTTCAAACGGCTCAACACACGCGGCTTAGGCCACTTTGTATGAGTATAAAAAGTTTCAGCTCCTCCAACACCAGTGACTGTAGCAATGCAATGACTACCACCAGGATCAACAAAAACCTTGTGAATCGATTGCTCCCCAGTCCGACCAACAGCGAGATCAATTTCTATATCCAAAAGGAAAAAGATTCATCTATATTTCTCACAAATTGAACTTTTCACCAGTGAATTAACAAACAAAAGAATGACAAAATTGAGTATACCAGAAGAACCCGCAAGTCCGAAATCATGGCGGATAATCCATCCTTTACTTGTTCCAAGAACAATTACATCATTCCCAGCAGCCATACATGTAATCATGCCACGATTCTTTGTGGCATTTCTCTCAAGAAGATCAACTGAAAACGCTTGCCTTCCTTGATCCATCTTCTTCCCCCTCTTAATCAAAAACTGCACATATAAAAACTTATGAACTTAAAACTCTTATCCAGATTTTTTGAGTTTTTGACCAATTAATTTACACCTCGAAACCAAAATTCAAAGATGAGAGATCGATTCTGAATGAACACATTGGGAACTTTAAAGCGAAGATTATCAGAACCTTGCAGCAATACTAAAACTCGGGATTGTGTCGATTCATTAAGGTTTCTACATTGGTTACAACAATCGGAATCGTTACCTTGGTCGGAGATCTGATCGGCGAGCAGGAGAAATTGGACCCGGTTTATAAAATCTGATCAGCGACACAAAACGCCACCGTCTTTTCGAGTGGCTTCCGTCCGACTTATATTTAATCTGTCTCTGTCGTCCAACGAATTCAAGGCCGACTTACTAAAACAACCAAAACGGCTACGTTTTTGAGTTAAGAGGTAAATAGTTAAAACGCAGTGTTTCACTGAGTTAGTTAACCAGCTACACCGGTTCAATGTTGTTGAATTGGATTAGCATCGTTTAGAGAGTTCTCGGTGGTTTCAAAGCAAAAAAAAATAGTAAGGCCCGGCCTACTTCAAAATTAGAAAATCGAATATTTAAAGGCCCAATTTTAAAAACTTGGATCCACTTTCGAACAACATCTTTTTTTTTTTTTTTGGTAAAAGGAACAACATCTTTTTGTTTGTTGATATAAAAAAGTTGTGAAAATAAGAAAGTTGTGTATATCCGATTCGGGTCATTGTAACTTGTGGTTGCGGAGAACAATAGAAAGGACAAAGAAAATCAAAGGATTAAGGATGTTGATACTTACTTGATCACACACACTACATAAAGACTAAAGGGGTAATATGGTAAATTACATTCGTCCTCCCTCCAAAAAATCTCAACGACTAAAAATCGAAAACCTTGAAGCAAGCAACGAATCAACGCCACTACCAAAAAATTCCAAACAAGACATCAGAAAATTGTTAAAAACAAGAATTATAATTTTCTTATCAAATCTCTCTTACTCTTTTTAGTCCTCCGCTGACCCGATTATCCACTTACCCGATCCGGTTTAAACACACTCATATGAGTGAGGTATAATGACCCGTACCGGAATCTGCCGGAGCGGTACACCTGATTCAAAAACATCCGTCGGAAACGACGGCGGAGGAGGAGGAGGAGGAACAACCGTCATGAGAGTGATCGTACCTTTACAAGGAGTGGTTCAAGGCCGTGGTGGTTTAGTCTTGGGCTCTGTAATTCCTTGTGCTTTCTTTTACTTTCTCCAATTTTACCTCAAACGAAACCGTAGAGACGAACCCGTATCCGAATCCGACCCGGCTAATCAGAACTCGGGCTCCTCGAGTCCAACTCAGTCGGAGCTGAATGGTTTGTCTCGGTCTCTCTCTCGGGTCATTCCCTCGCCGAGAAATTCCGGAGCTCACGTTTCGGTTTCGGGTCTGGCGAATAGTATCCTCAAAGGTGGTGGTGATACACCGTATCACGTGGGTTTGAAACGGGCCGCGGAGGATCCATATGACGAGTTGGGTAACCCGGATGGTATCATCGAACTTGGTTTAGCTCAGAACAAGGTGAAAAAAAAAGTTTCGATTTTTATCGTTTTTATTTACAGGGTTTAATGATCTAATGTTCTTCGTTTACACTATAGCTGAGCTCGGATTTGGTTTCGGATCAAAATTCAATTGGATTGAGTTTAAGTGGGATTGCTTCCTACGAGCCTTCTGATGGACTTATGGAACTCAAAATGGTTTATTTTCTTTTACACCTTAAAGTTTTCAACTTTTCATTGACTCAATTATGATCCGGAAGAAATACATCTGTGTTCTCATGCTTTTGGATCTTTATGTGTTCTCTGTCTGTGACTGAAGTTTGTGGATTCTCATTTTTATTGAGACAGGTTGTGGCAAAGCTCATGTCTGAAGCAACCAAGAATTCTGTTTGCTTTGATCCATCGCAGTTAGTATTAACTTCTGGTGCAGCATCAGCCATAGAGATTCTTTCCTTCTGCTTAGCCGATTCTGGAAACGCTTTCCTTGTTCCAACGCCGTGTTCTCCTGGGTAACGATTTCAGTTTATTGCTTGACTCTGTGGCTGCAAAAGAATACTTAGTCTGTAGCTTCAAAAGCTGGTTTGTTAATGCAGATTCCATGTGGATGTTAAATGGCGAAACGGAGTTGAAATCATACACGTTCCTTGTAGAAGTTCTGACAACTTCAATATATCCGTTACTGCACTTGACCGAACTTTCTCTCAAGCCAAGAAACGCGGTGTGAGAATCCGCGGAATCATAATCTCAAACCCTTCCAATCCCATGGGACGTCTCTTGAGCAGAGAAAACCTCTATGCTCTTTTGGACTTTGCCCGCGAAAAGAACATTCATATAATATCCAACGAGATCTTTGCTTGTTCGATCCACGGAGATGAAGAAGCAGAGTTTGTCAGCATAGCTGAAATAGCTGACACAGAAGAGAATCTCGACAAGGAAAGAGTTCACATCGTGTATGATCTTTCAAAAGACTTGTCTTTTCCAGGACTCAGAGCCGGCGCCATTTACTCCTTCAATGAGAACGTTTTAGCAGCTTCTAGAAAGCTCACAACGCTCTCACCCGTTTCATCACCATCCCAGCATTTGCTCATGTCTGCAATCTCCAAACCGGAATTCCTTCAAACATATGTTAAAACCAATAGACAGAGACTACAGAGAATCTACTCAGAGTTTGTGAAGGGATTAAAAGGTTTAGGAATCGAGTGCACGAGAAGCAATGGAGGGTTGTTCTGTTGGGCAGATATGAGAGGATTGATCTCTTCTTATAGCGAGAAAGGCGAAATCGAGCTTTGGAACAAGTTCTTGGACATTGGTAAGTTCAATGTAACACCAGGATCTTGCTGTCATTGTATTGAACCAGGATGGTTTAGATTCTGTTTTAGTAATTTGTCTGAAAAAGATGTGCTTGTAGTTATGAACCGTATCAGAAAAGTTTGTGTAACATGTAAATCACAAAATTGAAAATTGCTTATCTACATTCCTCAAAAGTCGGTTCCGTATTGTGTAAACCAGACTAACAATCTCATTGAACAAATGTAAATCTAAACCGGAAAATCCCAAAAATCACCAAAAGAATAAACTTATTCCCCTCTTAAACCCACTTTCTAAGCTCTAAACACTACACTGCACAATATCTATGCAATCTTTACTCCAAAAGGAAAAAGCTTTCTCATGATCCAAATCCATTTCTGATTGATTCAAGAACCTGCACAACCTCAGCCATACTCGGTCTCTTCAGTGGATTCTCCGACGTACAAAGGAGTCCTAACTTCATGACTTGAATCAGCTCGTTCTCTTCAAACTCTCTCAACCTTCTGTCAAAACAATCAGAAGCTGAACCAGTTTCCAATAAGTCCCTCACATAATCTCTCAAGATCAAGACTTGGTTTCTCGATGGAGACTCCACCGGTTTTCTACCTGTAACCAGCTCAAGAAGAACTACACCATAACTATACACATCGCATTTCTCACTGGCTCTCAAACTCTGCTGAGCTAACTCTGGGGCAATGTACCCAACCGCGTTGTGGAACTTCTTGGTCAAACCGAAGCTGTCCATAACCGGAAGAAACTTTTCTAACCCATAATCTGATAGCTTTGCCTCATATCTTTCGTCTAGAAGAATGTTGGTGGACTTAACATTGAGATGAAGAATCGCCGGTTTACAGTCATTGTGTAGGAAAGAGAGCGCTTTCGCGGATCCTAAAGCAATCTGAAATCTTTTGTGCCAATTCAAATCGGTATTCCCATGGCTTGAGCTGGTTCCGGGGTAAATTCTTAGGTGTAGATTATCGTAGAGGCTACCGTTTGGGACAAATTCAGAGAAAATCAACTGCATTGTTGAGGAAAAGTAGTAACCTTGGAAAGAAGACAGATTCGGATGTTGCAAACCTCCAAGCCGTCCGATTTCTTGCTCAAACTCTTCTTGGTTTCTGATTCTTCCCAAAGTGTCAAGCTTCTTCACTGCAATGGAAACCCCTCCTTCGAAAGATGCTCTATAGACAGATCCAATCGACCCCATGCCAATTATATTTTCTTTGTCGAGTAAAGCTTTTGTACCCGCCTCCCAATCTTCATATTTTGACGGCAAATTCTTGCTGAAAAGAACAAGCTTTCCGATTATCACACCGCTAGAGTCAATTGAAGACGCCAGAGGAGTGGTTTCGACTGTAAGTATTTCCTCATCTTTTCTCCTTTTACGAGCTCTTATGTTCAAAGCAAGCACTATACAGACACCAAAGAGGATAATAGCAGCCGCAATAATAACAATGATAACCGAAATGCTTAGAGCATTAGAATTTCTGGATTTTGCTGCAGCCCCACGAGAATTGCAGGGAGTTACAAGAGGATCACCGCAAAGGAAAGGGTTGTTTGAAAACGCAGAAGATCCGAAAGCTTGTATCACTGGAACAGGAGGGATAATACCGGAGAGATTGTTGTAGGAGACATTGAAATGTGTTAGTGCATTCAAATTCTCGAGGGAAGACGGGATTGAACCTGAAAGTGAATTCTGTGAAAGATCAAGAAACTGGATGCTGGAGAGGTTTCCAAGTTCAGGTGGAATACTTCCATTGAGACGGTTTCGATGCAGATCAAGAATCTCTAAGTTTGTTAAGTTTAATAGCTTCCTAGGGACCTCTCCTTCTAAATTATTACCTGAAACATCTCTGCAACGAATAAGCAAGAATTTTAACAACAATTTGAGATTCCTACACGGTAACAAAAATCGATACATTCGCTGAAACATCGAGCAACGAGCAGAACTTACAGTTCAAGAAGTACTCTGCAATTGGATATATCCTCTGGAACTTCACCAATGAGATTGAGGTTATGCAGATTCAAAACTTGTAGAAACTCCAAACTTCCAATCTCTCTTGGTATCTCCCCATCTATAGAATTATTGCCTAATCTGATCACCGAGAGCGTCTCTATCTTCTCGATACCTCCAGGGATACTACCATTCAGCTTGTTAGACTCCAAATCCAAAAGCTTGAGATTTTTGCAACCCACAACACCATTTGGGATCCTACCAGTTAACTCATTCGACGAAGCATCTAAAAACTCCAAACTTTCACTGCAATCAACTATCTCTCCAATCTCCCCACCAAACCGGTTCCAAGAGACATTGAAATAAGTTATGTTCTTGAACGTAAGAACCTCAAAAGGCGCTAATCCATGAAACAAATTGCTTCCGAAATCGACAAGAATCAACCTCTGACATTTCTTTATCTCCTCAGAGACATCACCAGACAACAAATTGTTTCTCACTAAGATATACTCAAGCACCGGAATATCACAAATCCTAGGCGGTAACACTCCCTTCAGATTATTATAAGAGAAATCAAATCCTACGAGGTTGTTACAGTTCACGATCGTACCAGGGATTGATCCAGAGAGATTGTTATGAGACAGTGAAACAAATTTGGTCTTGTCACAGAACTTAAACAGAGAAACCGGAATCTCTCCGGTGAAACCATTTTTAGACAAGTCAAGAAACCTTAAGCTAGACAATTCACCGATAAACTCCGGAATCGGACCAGACAACGCATTGGAACTAACATTAATCGTCCACAAAGTTTGCAACTTTGAGTAATCCAACGGTAAATTACCTGTAAACCTGTTGCCAAACAAGGTCAGAACTCGAACAAACTTTAGATTTGACAATCCCGGAGCTAGGGTTCCGGCGAGACTGGTGTTCCAAAGAACGATTTTGTCCACGAAACCTTGTGGGTTACAAGTGACTCCATTGAAGCTATTGCAGAGGTCACCGTCGGAGACCCAAGAAGCCAAACTGTTGTACGGATCGTCACTGATACTGTCTTTGAACTGAAGCAAAATGTCTCGCTCATTGATTGTCTGGGAGAGAGAAGATGAAATGTAGATGAAATTTACCAAAACAAGAAAAAGATGAATCTTTCTCATATTCAGCTCATAAACGGATCCACCCAATTGACATTATCTGTTCAGGATCCAAACCCGAATCCGAAATTAAACCCGAGCTCCAAATTGGGATTTGTTCTCTAACACCAGAATCAAGAACAAGTAGCTGCATTTATGAAGCAAAACGATTGATATTTATTGGGATTGAGCTAAAGCTGAGAACTTTTGAGCTGCTTCTTCATATATTTAGTCATCCTTAACGGCTAGAAAAAACAATTACCGACCAAAGTCAACACTCTCGAGAAACGACAAAAGAAGAAAGAAAGAATCACAGATTCAAGAACAGTAAACAGAGTATTTGGGGTTTTACAAGTTTTCGAACCAAATGCACGAAAGAATAAGGAATGTGTTCTCAGGCTAATCTAATCTCATCTTGCATTATAGAGAAGAGAGTGGTGCCTTGGCTGGAAAGTAACTTGATGAACGAATTAAATTATCTCACTCTCTGGCTTCCACCAAACCAAAGGAAGACGAAGCACGTGCCTGCTTTGTTCATCGTCTATATGTAATGGAGGAGAGTGTCTGGCTTGTCTGTACTTCTTACCAAAGCATTTATTCTCTCCTTCACCAACCATATTTTTTTCCATTAAATAATCCCTACCTAATTGTTTTCACAAAAATGAATATATAAACTTTAATTGAATTCTCGAATTTTTAAGAAGAAAAAAACAAGAAAGTTTTGGTCCCCCATCTCAATTGGTAGTTACAAACATATTGAATGCATGATGAACAGAGAATTGTACATTTAATATTCGATTCAAATGATGAGATGTTATTTGGAGTCAAATAAATCTTACAGTATGAAGTAAGAATGAATGAGTTATTTTTAGGCAATACTGAATCTAGTACATGGCTTTTGATGAACATTCAGAGTAGGTTTGGGGTTAATTCATAAGTTTTTTAAGGTCCAAATCAAACTTTTGGAAACTAATGGGTTTTAAAAGAAGGGAAGAGAATTAGAGACAGAGACAAGTGAGTGACCAAAAGTAAACGTCTTTCTGTCATTTGTTTGTTTCTGTGGCTTCTGTTCTCTCTGTTTTACTGAGTTTGTTTAATCATTTTGTTCTTTCGTTTTTGAGAATATTATTGTGGTTTGAGACTAGTAGTGTGCATTGTGCAATGAAGATATTAGGTCTCTATCAAAAACTTTCATAGCATAATTGAAGTCGGCAGAGTTAGTGCGAAGGCCCAATAACGTTATAACTAAACCCTAATCAAATTCATCGAGTGATTTCCTTTTTCTAATAACAAAATAAATGGAAATTTCCTTTTTCTAAATTTCCTTTTTCTGAATTTCCTTTTTATTGGACAACAATCTCTGTTTATAAATACTCAACATGTCTTCTTAGGTCAAAATCATAACATAATTGTCACCAAAAGAAAAGAAAAAAAAGAGAGAGTGTTTTAATGGCAACGAGAGCAAGTCAGAGATCATCTTTTCGTGTTTTTTCTAAAGCTATGAATCGTTTCGATTTTTCACTGAGTTAGTGTGTGATCCGAAACAATTTCGTATGAATCTTTCGCTTTCAAGTTTAGTTTCGTTTTTTGTTTCCATCATCATGAAGTTAACAAGATCTTCAATCAATAAATCCATCCGTCTCTCCATAGTGGCCGTGGCGGTGGTGTAGAGGCAACAACGTCGTCAAGCCCCTGGAGAGAACAAGGCTCAATCGTCGGGGTCAAAATCGATTTGGACACAGAGTCACACCATATCAGTGAGCAAAACCATCCAATCGTTCGACTACTCACAATCACTCAACAAGAAGAACTATCTCAAAATCCTCTGCTTCCTTGATCTGTAAGTAATCTCAAAATCCCCTCTGCTTTTCTTTATTTTCGTATGTTTCTAAGTTTATTATTTATCCCTCAACCAAATAATTAATCCTTCTCCGTTTTATTGGATTTCAGCTTCTTCCAAGGTACCCTAGAATTATGGACAGCATGATCATCAACACTTATGCGCTGTAAGTAATTTCTTCTGTTTTAACACTTATTTTTTTTCTTAAAAAATGTTTTTAAACTTATATTTTGGATAAGTGTTAAATATTAAATTTTGTGTAAACTAATTGGACACAACATCCAAACCCCTAAGAGGTGTTCTAGGTTCAATATGGTTTACACATAATTTAAATTTTTAACACTTGTTTTTATTTTATTACTATTAAAACTATAAGGGTTTTTTTGGATAAGTGTTAAATTTTTAAATTTTGTGTAAACTAATTGGATACAACATCCAAACCCCTAAGAGGTGTTCTAGGTCCAATATGGTTTATACATAGTTTAATTTTTTAACACTTGTTTTATTTTATTAAAAATGTTTTAAAACTTATATTTTAATATTACTATTTAAACTTTAAAGTTTTTTAGATAAGTGTTAAATTTTTAAAATTTTTGTAAACTAATTGGACACAACATCCAAACCCCTAAGAGGTGTTCTAGGTTCAATATGGTTTATACATAATTTAAATTTTTAACACTTGTTTTTATATTATTAAAAAATGTTTTAAAACTTATATTTTAATTTTACTATTTAAACTTGAAGGTTTTTTAGGTAAGTGTTAAAATTTTAAATTTAGTGTAAACTAATTGGACATAACATCCAAACCTCTAAGAGGTGTTCTAGGTTCAATATGGTTTATACATAATTTAAATTTATAACACTTGTTTTTATTTTATTAAAAATGTTTTAAACTTATATTTTTATATTACTATTAAAACTATAATGGTTTTTTGGATAAGTGTTAAATTTTTAAATTTTGTGTAAACTATTTGGATACAACATCCAAACCCTTAAGAGGTGTTCTACGTTCAATATGGTTTAAACATAATTTAGATTTTTAATACTTGTTTCTATTTTATTAAAAAAATATTTTTATATTACTATTAAAACTAAAAAGGTTTTTTTGGGATAAGTGTTAAATTTTTAAATTTTGTGTAAACTAATTTGATACAACATCCAAATCCCTAAGAGGTGTTCTAGGTTCAATATGGTTTACACATAATTTAAATTTTTAACACTTGTTTTTATTTTATTAAAAAATGTTTTTAAACTTATAGTTTATATTACTAATTAAATCTATAAGGGTTTTTTGGGATAAGTGTTAAATTTTTAAATTTTGTGTAAACTAATTGGATACAACATCCAAACTGCTAAGAGGTGTTCTAGGTTCAATATGGTTTACACATAATTTAAATTTTTAACACTTGTTCTTATTTTATTAAAAAAATGTTTTTGGGTTCAACATGGTTTATACATAATATAATTTTTCAACACTTGTTTTTTTAATTAAAAAATGTTTTTAAACTTATATTTTTATATTAATACTAAAACTGAAGTTTTTTATATTTTCAAATAATTTTTGAGATAATTTTTTTATTTATTTAGATAAGTGTTAAATTTATGTGTAAACTAATTGGACACAACATCCAACACACTAAGATGTTCTAGATTCAAAATGTTTTACACATAATAAAAAAACTTAACACTTATTTTTTTATAAATTATTTTTAAGTTTTGTGGTGTCATAAGTTCAACATGTTTTCACATATTTTAGTTTAACAATTGGTTAAGTTTTAAGATTTTTTACAAATAATATTTTAACTAACTAAATTGTTTTGATTTTCAGCTAAATTTTTTAAATATACAAAATGTTTTTGTTTCTAAAAAAACTAAGTGTCAAATTTAAATACGTTGAAAAGAAACCGAACTTTGCATCTCGTCGTTTTGGTACGTAAGTTTTGTGGTGATCTTAAGTTCAACATATTTTTCACGTAATATAAATTTTACATTTAAGTAAAGTGTTTTAATTTTTTAACTAAAAGATTTTGATTGCAAGCAATTAAAAAAATCATATTAAAAATCTAAGTGTTGAAACGCATTTAGTCGTGTTAAATTTAAGTGGAAGTGAAATTGAAGACTTTGAAGTTGGCCCAGTTAGTGCGACGACCCGACGACCCAATAACGTGGCACTAAACCCAAATCTGTTATTCGCCAAATCAAATTCGTTCAAATTGTCTTCTAACAAAAACCCTCCGATCACCATCAGATGTTCTCGCGTTGACTCCTCCCGTCCTCCGTCAACGAAACCCAAACAGATGACGTCATCAATGACACTCACCATCGAGTTAGCTCCAAAGATCATTTGATACAGAAATTTCATGGAGCATAGAGGACACACAATCTTCAAGATGAGACATTAAATAGCATTACCTTTGTACACTTGTGACTTGTCCGAGTAAATTTAGCCTTTGTAACCGTCCCCATAAATGTGTCTTATTTCAATTTCCCATCATATACTTTCTTTTCCTTTATTATATTAAAACATCATTTATCATCTATCTAAACACAAAACAACTAATGAAAAAAAGCAAACCCCAAAATACAAATGTTTATAAAACATAAAAATCAATTAAATCTGCGTTAAATATATAGAATATCACTTGAAATTAACCTAAACCTTTAACTACGATTGTTTAGAAGCCAATTTCTGTTTTTTACTTTTGAACAAAACCCAACAAGACATTGTTCCATGATACATACTTGACACTTCCATGAGTTGAATTATATACAAGGAAAGGAAAAGACTTAGATGATCTAATAAATATACATTGGAGATTTTCAAAATTCAGTTGATACATATATACAAGAGAAAAGAGACATAGATATTCACTTTCAAATGAATAAGAATAACAAAACAAAAAAAAAAAACAAATTATATATATTATCAATATCAAGATCGTGTTAGATGGTATGTTGTGATCTAGAAGAAGCGCTTAGTGGTGAAAAGAGTTATTAAAGTATTGGATTTTGTAATGTCTCTACGTCCTCTGATTGCATCGCACTTAGCTTCTTCTTCGCATAGATTGTGCAGACTATAGTCGCGCTCGCAGTTACACAGAAGCCAAGAACATTCACGACTATCTCCACAACCGAAAGTGTGTGTCTCGTGTCTGATGCAACTGCTAGTGTCCTCAGCATTATTCCCCTACAAATATCCAAAAAAGAAAACCACCAGTCTAAGATTCTGCAGATAATGTCTGAACATAGAGACAAGAGACAGAGAGAGAGGCATATACGTGTAAATTGAGACAAAGATCTCAGGAACCATTCCAACAAGAGAGCCTAAGATGTAAGGACCGTAATGAACTCCAGTGGCTAATGCGCAGTAGTTGTATATGATGTAAGGGAATGGAGAGACACGGATTAGTGTGACTGCTTGAAACTGATGAAACCAGGTTCCTTCACCAGCAGCTCTAAGTATGGCTGCTTTTTTCGGGTATTTCTTCAACCATTCCTGCGCAAATGACAAGGAAGAAAAAGGCCAATATGATCATCTAATGGTACAAGCTTAATAATAAGTATACAAACCAAAGAGTATGGGATGATGCTTACCTGCATCTTATGAAGGAAAAGATGCCCGATTAAGAAAGGAAGAGTAACACCGATCGATGCTGCTGATAGAATCAGTAAAAACCCTTTTCCATAACCAAATGTAAGACCAGCCATCCACATGGAAGGAGAAGAAGGGAGAAGAATGCTTGGAAACAAAGCCACTGAGGCAAAGAGTAGAAGACCGAGAACCGGAATGCTGAATGTGTTTCTCACCCAATTTATAAATGGAATCAGCTCCTGAAAACATCACAGCAACATAAATGATCATAAACTTCACGTTTCTATCATTGATAAACAACAAACAAAATGAACCGCTAAATGAAATAACCTTATAAATAAATACTCATACATGTAATTCAAGAACCCTAATATCTGGGATCAATCTAAATACACAAGAACCCTAAATTAAACCCAGCAGGAAACACAATTCAATCAAATGTAACCAATAAGCATCAGATCTTCGAGAGACAAAAATAAAAAACGAACCTTTTCGATCAAAAACGGACCAATCCATTTGATGATTACAAAAGCCAATGAAACCAAACAAACGACCAAGGAGATCAATTTCACCCAGAACCAGACAGAAGTAACCGATCCTATCGAAAATCCCGATGATTCCGCCGATGACCCTTCTTCTTCTTCATCCGATCTCCCTCTCAATTTCACATAATCACCATTTTCGGAATCTTCGACTCTCAATTTCAGCTCAGGCACCGTACCATCGACGCCATTGCTGTACGTCATAGATCGATCGAGACGAAGATAAAACCAAAAAAATGAACTCTTTTGCCCAAAAAATATCTCAAAAGTTACCGGCAGAATCGTTGTGCACCTCTGTTTTCCTTCGGTTTCTCGAGAAAATTAAACCGTTAGATCAAATGGTTGTTTGTGATCGGAGAGAGCGAATGGGTTTAGAAGAAAGAATCTTAATTATATTTATTCGTTATATGTTTTGATTCCTTACTTTTTAAAAAATGATATCGTAATAATTAAGTGGTTTACTTTCAAATTATTAAACCGGTGTCGTAATCGGACAAGTGGAGACATATGAGTGGCTAATAGCTGTTGCTCCGTCACGAACCACCGATAATATGTAAGCGAGTTGCTTTAGACCGCCGCTTTATTTTCGCTTTGCCGTCACGGTGGGTACATATCATACATGTTATATGTTGCTTTTAAGCTTTTTTTTTTTTTATTTGACAGAAGAAATATCAATCAAATATGTAGGATAACATAACATGAAAGAGAATGAGAGAAACAAGGAAATAAAAAGCAACCAAAGTTGAGACTTGTAAGCAAATAAAAATAGAAGATGCTTATAAATGGACGTATCGATATAGATAGCTACGTTTTGAAGTTTTAATACCATGAATTACCAACGAGGAGCTAGCATAAGAACCTTGGTTGTGGACCTTATAAACAATTGTCAAACTAGAACAATTTAATTCGGTTTGTGGACCTTATGGTTAGTATTAGATCCAAAAATCATTATTATCGAATCCGTCTAATGATGGTGTGTTTAAGTAAAATGCATAACCAAATTAAAAGGATACAGTCTTGAATGAGAGTGTTCAACGCAACGGTTTTGGATTTTGATTTGTTGCTTCCAAACCAGATACACCACCACCGTTTAGACAAGGATACGTGGAAATTTGAGTAGTCTGGACTCATTATAGCTCAAGATTCGATATAACATATAGTGTACATGCAAACACTCTGCGTAAAAGGATTTAGTCATGTAGATTTTCGCCGGAATGATTCACTAGTGGTAGATAGATTCGTGAAAAACTCAGTTACAAAAGACCCAAGGATGAGCTAGTACATTTGGAACATAATGGTAATCATCACATTCCGATCAAATCAAAAGAGCGATTGACTAAACGCGTCGGGACAAACGCGCCACTTTCTTTCTTTAATCTCCTGTTACGTCACCGTCCAACCAGCTAGGCCTGTCCCCACAAACCAAACCCGGTTCACATAAACCGATTATCTTCACGAACCGATACCAACTTTATCGTAATCCACAAACACCATAAAAAGTTGATAACCCCACCCATTTATATCCACTTTATCTCATCGGAAAAGTTCCAATCACTACCGTTGGATTATAAAACGATGACGTCATCACTCTCCGTTTGTTTCATCGAACGAATATTATCAGACGATGCATAAGATCTCCCGTGCGCCTTATCACATACGAATAAACCATGAAACCACAAAGACAAATGCAAAAGAACTAAAAGAGTCTGGTTTCTGTTCTGTCCTAATTTCTCTCTGGCGAAAGCTAAGAGGTTTCGGTTACGGTCTTGGTCTCCGATCAAATCACGAACTTTCTGTCCAAAATTCTCAGTGATATATACCGTCAGAGATTTTCTTTACGAAACTTGTCGCCGGAAAACTAAAAGCAGACATATCGGAAATTAGGTAAATATCTTATTGGTTTTTCGTTCTGTTCCAATTTTCAGATTTGTGTTCTTCGTTTGATTCCTTAATCTTATTCAGAACCATTCGATCAAACCACTCGAAGATAAGAACTTTTTTTTTTTTTTTTGTGCCGAAAGGGTAAAGTAGTCTTTTTAGTTAGACGCTGACCTGGTCTTAAGGGTTGACAAATGACGCATTTACTCTTCGATTTTATAAAGAGTGCTAAGGGTATTTTCGTCATGCTTGAGATAAATAATTTTAGTCTTTCTCGCTTGAGAAACAAGCCAAGAATCTCCATTTTCCAAAATCTATCGATATTCTTAATTTTCCTTTATTTTCTCAAAGAAATCATAAATACAAACCCTAACCCTATAGTCACAAATTCATTCTTCATCTGTTTCTTCGATTCAAGATTTTTGTTCTTTTTTCTTTTGCAGTAAGATTTCGATTTTAGAATTGGAAAATTTTCAATTATGGGTTCTGAGCAAAACGACGGCACAAGCTTCTCTCCATCAGAGCCAAAGCTCTGCGTCAAAGGATGTGGCTTCTTCGGATCACCATCGAACATGAACCTCTGCTCCAAATGCTACCGAGACATCCGAGCTACGGAGGAACAAACCGCTTCGGCTAAAGCCGCCGTAGAGAAATCTCTAAACCCTAATAAACCCAAAATCCAACCACAACAGAGCCAAGAAATCACTCAAGGCGTCCTCGAATCTGGATCTTCTTCCTCATCAACAACGAGCGGTGGTGATTTGGCTGCAGCTCCCTTGGATCCACCGAAATCGACGGCTACGAGATGCTTGAGCTGTAACAAGAAAGTGGGCGTGACGGGTTTCAAGTGTAAGTGTGGGAGCACTTTCTGTGGAACTCATAGATATCCAGAGACTCATGAGTGCGAGTTCGATTTCAAAGGAGTCGCGAGAGAAGCCATTGCTAAGGCTAATCCTGTGGTGAAGGCTGATAAGGTTGAGAGGATATGAATTGGTGAAGAAACTGGTGTGTTCTCTTTGTTTTTTTTTATATTAAAGTCTCGTGATGTTGGTGGTTTGGCTCTTTTTTCTGCTCTTATTATGGTTTGATTTGCTTTTAGGGTTTCTTAGGAAAGGTTTTCGATTCTGCTATTATGTGGTTTCATGATTTGCAACATTGGATTTGTTGTTCTGTAATAAATTGTTGGTCATATCATAAAATTGTGTTCTCATTGGGACCAGCTTATTTTTAGGATCCTCTTGGTTTGTTTATAGGTTACTAATGAACAAGTTTGGGTCTGTATGTAGCTTAAGGTGGATAAAGTGTGTGGCCTGATATATCTGAAACTGAAGATGTCCTCTAGGGAGTTTATTGGTATCGACCCATGGAAAATTTGGAGGTGTCTTTAGTTTAGGTGTTAAGTGTCCTGGATTGAATGAGTCATTGATTTTACTTTCTTCGTCTTAGCTCGAGATAACGGTGTTTTTCTTACCTGGGGAATGTTTGAATCATTTATAGTTGTGGGAATTAGAACAAGCGGAGTTTGTATATAGCTTATGGTGGATACAGTGAAGTATTCAAAGTAGTTTATATGTATTGAACCATGGAAGATTAAGAGATGTCTTGATGTAGAGGTGATAGTGCCTAGTAATTGAATGAAATCATTGATTTTGCCCGGCAGTGGCACTATGCTTTGACAGACGTTGCATCTGCAGGGTTAATAGCTAAGAAACTTTAAAGACTTGAGGTGTTTGCTTTTGGCCTTGATCGATTTGTTTGAACTAGTCGGGATATTCGGGGTTGTATTCAGATGACTGTAGATGGATTACATTCTATCGTTTGTGAATCCATATTACCTAGCAATGATGCTCATAAGATTATTTCCCTAGGCTTGTATGATCTTCATCTCGTTGGGGCTATGTTGTGAAGTTCGGATTCCAATCTTTAAGCTTATAGAATCCTTTTGTTCGTCTCTTTGTCTGGTTATGGCAATGCAGTTGCACAACATTTGCGTTTATCTGAACTTGAATATACATATCAAACGGTTCGATTAATATAGCGGATTACATGTTTATAGAGTTTAAACCCATCGAATTTTTTTAAAATTATACGGTTCCTAAATTGCCTAAACTATGACAAAACTTGAAGAAACCAAAATTGATATCAAACTGGAACAATGTAATTGTGTATTGAACAATGTCACTATCCACAATCAAGTACACTAGTTACATCTGATCTATTTATATAAAAGAAGTATGAAGTATCCATGCAGTTTTTTTTTTTTTTTATATACTGTCTTTGCATACAGCTGATTTTGATCTGAAATTTCACCAGATGAAACTGGATTTGATTTTCAAATACGGTTTCTACTTTGCCTAAACTATGAAAAACTGGAAGAAACAAAAATTGATAATTAAAAAACTTAAGACTGCAACCGACGAGTTGAGATAGAACATATGTCCTTGGTGTGGGTAAACTGTTGCTTTCACTTTCACTTCTTGATGGTTACATTACAATCTTGGGTCCATTTTCAGGATCTTATCAACCAATATACAAAAAGCAAGGAGAGAAATGCAGTGCATTACAGTTTTCTTTATCAAACTTGACAGATAAACATGTAGACTTTTATTTTTCGACTGTGAAACATGTTTTGTACTTCTTTGCTTTAAGGCTTTGTTATTTTTCTTTCTTATATATAAAAGAAATAGTGGGAAAATGAAGACCTTATTGCGACATTGCAACCTTTGGAAAACCACTTTCAGCCCATGATGCAATATCAAATGATCTGACATTGCAGCAGTCGTATAACCTTTTGTAATTCATAGTTTCCAATTCTATATGAATTCAATTTTTGATTTTGGACATTTTCATGTCTAGAATATCTCCCATATGATAAATACTAATAAACAAATAATGCTGAAATTAGAAAGAGAAAATAAAAAGTGACCCTTTATGTATTTTATAGAAAAATAACTCTTTGTCCCTTGAATTTAACTCACTTTAGTAAATCTCGTTGACGAAGGCCACTACATGAGTAGTCTGAGTGCTTTGAATAAGTTTCCCTCTTTATACATCAATGCTACAGTATACAAAGCACCAGAATGACAAAAAAAGGTTTCATTTGATATTTGATTATGAAATATCAGAGATGTGTCAATTGGGTTAAGAACTCACTATTTGAATATGTTCATTTTTTTAATATGATAGGTGTTTTTGAGTTTGGAAAAATCATGACGTTTGGACCTGGTCTAAACGAACTACAAGTTTTGTGAAAAAATCGTATCAGAATTTTGATTTAACAACTTTTTTCTGCCGATCCACAAATGTCCATCTTAAAACTAAATTGACATTGTGTTAGATAATCTACAGTTTTAATATATACTCAGATTCAATTCATCTCAGAGCACCTTATATTTTGTTAATGAATTAATTTCCTATTTTATTTTATTTTTTGTAAATTTTTATTGGCTCAACCAAAATTTTGAATGGAAAACTCTTTTCATTGGGACGATTTGACAAATTTACTTTTTCTATGGGCCCTTGAATCCCTTTATTGTTGTTTTTGCCTTTTCTTTTTTTCCTTTTTCCTTCTCTCAGTCCAAAATCTTTTGGTCTTTTAATTGATCTTCCTATAATTATGCTTTAAAGAAACGAATTCAAATTTAACATAAAAAAATTCATTCAAATTAGTCCACCTCGACTTACGTTTTTACAGTTTCACCCAAACATATGTGATAAAATTATAAAATGGACTAAAAATTTGTGGACCAATCCAAGCAAAGTGGTATATACAACATCTTCGTAATCTTCGCAATGCTCTACTTAACATAAAGTAGTTTTTACGACTAAACATAGACAAACTTTAGAGAAAAGATTTTGCTATAAATAGTAAGCAATTAAAATGGTCACATCTTTCGTGACAAAGGTCGCTCGAATATTATCACTAACAGTAGAGCATTGCATTAATAGTGATTCACGCGGACAACAACAACAACCGTACCGTACAATGGTCCAGCGGGTAAATAACGGGACCAGTAAAGGGTATTTATGTCAAACCCGTAAAATCTTAAGGACACAACTTGATGTTAGTTTTAACTGTGTCACGCCTTCTTACACGATTCCCTCCACTTCACTCAACACTCTCTCTCTCTCTCCTCTCTCAATTTTTGCAATTTTCCCGAGAAATTAAACTCCGTGAAAGAAAGAAAATTAAAGGAATTTTCTCGGGAACTAATAAAATTGAGGAAACACAAAAGAAGCTTCTTTGTTTTTGATACTCTCCAAGAGAATTTGTTTGGTCTTTTTTGGATTTATGCGTTTGAAGAAGAAAAATGTCAACGACTTCAGGAACCGGAGCTTTGAATTACAGAAATGGTACTCAAAGAAGCTCACTCAGAACTCAGTCCTCTACTTCTACTTCCTCCGGTGGTCAGAAATCTTCTGTCAAATCCAAGTCAGTGCTTAGAAAAAGCAGCCCCGCCGCACTTGGTGGTGGCGGCTCTTCTAAGTCTGGAAGCGGTGGCGACGCCGGTGGTAAAAAATCCTCTGTTCCTCCCTTTTTTTTTTTACCTAGAAAATTTCACTGTTTAGTTTTTTTTCCTCCAAACATAAACTTTTTTATTGATGTGTTTGAGATTTTGGATTAAGCTAGATTATGAATTTGTTTTTTTTTTTATAGTTGTTGAATTGTGATTTTGTTTTGAAGTTCCTGGGAGAGTTCGAGTAGCTGTTAGATTAAGCCTACGCTATGGTGAGGAATTGATTGCTGATGCTGATTTTGCTGATTGTGTTGAGTTAC